TTGTGAAACAAAAACAAGTTTGGGTGACACGGCAATGTGTCATTGGAGAAATCTGTAGAGGCTACCTTAACTTCAATTTCAGGTGTCAGTTTTCAGCTTCATGCCCCCGGCTTCCATTGATAATAACTGTAGGCTGTAGCTTTGTCCAAAGTGTCTGATCACACCATATATCTTGTTAAAAACCAGGTTTCCTCAAAGCCGCTGCTACTGTAGCAACCTACAGTATGTGATTCATCATAAATAACCAATATGTAAAAATGTGCTTAATCACAAAGGAATGTTTTAGCCATCTAATCTATCAATTAGACACAGCACACATTGCTGGTTCACTTTGTTAATCAAGACAAATATAGCTATCCAACAGATGTTATCTCATCCAAATGGGTCTGCTTTAATGTACTATAGGGTACTAGTAATGCTGTACTTAAAAAACCCAGGTTTAAACAGGACATCGTTTTGCAACATTTGACACTACATAATACTGGTCATTCAACATCAATTGCATAAAACTACTTGCAAATCACATTGGTTGATATTGGCTCAATCTCCATATAATTTAATGAATAAAACATGTTTTAGCAGCAGAGATGCATTGTGGGTCGGCACTCTGTCCTATAACCATGAGGTCATGTGTTCTCTGGCTGTATGCTGTAAATCAGCCAGGTAATTACCGCAGTCATTAAATTCTGATCCGGCCACAGGTATTGACTCTGTTCTGTATAATAGGTCATATATTATATAATGTATGGTAATAAAATGTTTTGGAAGTAGAGAAGAGAGCAAATGCAAGCAACACACACACACACACACACACACACACACACACACACACACACACACACACACACACACACACACACACACACACACACACACACACACACACACACACACACACACACACACACACACACACACACACACACACACGTAATGCACGAGAGAGACTGAGAGAAACTGCTGCATTGATAAGCAACCATGATCTCTCTTGAATAGCATTCGTAACTTCAGATAAGAAAAAGGTCGATTTACTTCTTGCCGTGTTCACAATGGTCATTGAGCCGCGGTCCAGAAACTTAAAAAATACATTATTTTATGGTCACTGTTATCATTGATCCACATCTCGATCTGAGGAAGAACATTGCAGCTTGAAATGGAATCACCCGAGGTAATATAGGTACCCGTCAGCTTCTGTTATCATAATGTCCCGGCTTTGCTGAGACTCTCATAAGTTTACACATAGACTTTGTCAGCTAGGAATCAGTGTTAGAATTGAGAAGCTAATTTATTGGGTACGACTGTCAAAAAACAACAACAGCATAACAGAGGTACACTTCTGTCTGTTGGCCTCAAGTGTAATACCTGCCCTCTGAGGTCAGACACAATCTCTGCCACCATCATGTGCAATCGATTTTTACAGTGTTGGCATGGCAATCTTCTACTTTTGTTTCCTGATTTAGTGTTTTTGTTTCCAGAGAAAAGCACTCCCCTGCTAGAAAAATTATGTCCTAATGTTGTTTGAAAACACTGAGTGCAGGGATGTGAGGAATGAAGGAAATCTTCGCTTTAGGAAGAATTTGTTGTTCAGTAGCTGGGAAACACACACACACACACACACACACACATACACACATACACACATACACACACACATACACACATACACACATACACACATACACACACACACACACACACATGGTAGTGTGGTTTTTTTCTTTGGTCTGTTTTACTCTGGAATTAGAAAAGTCCCAGTATATCTTAAATATGAAACTTTTGTCACAAGGTGGTGATGGTAAAAATACCTAACAAGAGGGATACAATCTCACTCAAAAATACAATCAGGATTAATAATGAAAGTCTTTTAATTTACTTTATAAATACAGAGAGTAATGTATATAGCTCCAATGATAATAGTACAAAATAGAACAATGGATGTCAACAAGGCTGCAAAAAACAAATGTACAGTGTCAGAAATGTCACTGTTACTCATGCCATTTGATGAGATGGGAAGATAAGATGAGTCACAGGATGAGATAATGTGAGTCATGGCTACAGATAAGCACAGTGTGGAGGAAGAGCGTTTGAGGGAAGGCTTTTTTTGTGTCCCCAAAGTTAATGTTCAGTAGAAGTGTGATTCTAAAAAAAACACAGAGGCGAATAGTTTCATATCTATTGGAAAATGCTTTTTTTAAACTTGTTCGTCCTCTTTGTGTTGGTAAATGGAAAAATCTATTGCAGAGATAAAAGCATGTGACATGTTCACGTCCAGCTTTATCAGATTCCCTCTTTATCAATTAGATGTTGGCAGTGGTCAGCGTTGTTTTTGGTCACTGTGATAAAAGGGCTTATCTGGCATCCAAGAAACACGCCAAGAGAATGACCTCAGAGATGGATCGAGTCCAACAAAAGAGCCACCACTTCTAACAGGATGTCCATTAACCGTAACATGGCTTTACAGTAAAGGCGTCCTCTCTCCGTTCGCTTCATTGCGTTTCAAGTGGAGCTCATTAGCGGGACTCTGCACGTGTTCCACTCCAGTAAATGATGACCGATTTCATTAACACCCTCAAGGGCTGATCTCATGGAAGTACTGTATAAGGAGAACTGGATACAGATTATATGAAAAACATGATAAGGCGTCTGTATATAGATAAGATAAATTTGACTTTTATTAATCCCGGTGGGGAAATTCAGTAGTTTAACAGCAACAGGGTAAGATTGAAAAACAGGACAGCACAGATTCACACAGATGAATAAAATGAAGGATAACATCAAAGATAAAAAATGTAAATGGTAAATAACTATAAAATAAGGTGTGTGTGGTGGTGTGTGTGTGTGTGTGTGTGTGTGTGTGTGTGTGTGTGTGTGTGTGTGTGTGTGTGTGTGTGTGTGTGTGTGTGTGTGTGTGTGTGTGTGTGTGTGTGTGTGTGTGTGTGTGTGTGTGTGTGTGTGTGTGTGTGTGTGTGTGTGTGTGTGTGTGTGTGTGTGTGTGTGTGTGTGTGTGTGTGTGTGTGTGTGTGTGTGTGTGTGTGTGTGTGTGTGTGTGTGTGTGTGTGTGTGTGTGTGTGTGTGTGTGTGTGTGTGTGTGTGTGTGTGTGTGTGTGTGTGTGTGTGTGTGTGTGTGTGTGTCAGACATTGTTGACTCCTTGTTGACCCCTACAGGCACAAAGGACTGTAAGGGCTTTTCAAGTGATTGTACTTTTTAAATCTACTGATTAACAGATGTCTCTTACCAATGTTAGTCAATGGCAAAAAGTCAGTTTGAGCCCAATGATTGAGCGCACTGACACCGAAGTTGTATTACCATGGATTGTCACAAACATTTGCTTCAACACTCCGCTTCCTTCCTGGGGGCTTGTCTGATTTGCCCTCTGATACATCAGCGAGAGACAGTCTGACTGCCGCATGCCTCATGTGGGACGATTGGATCGCTCCATGGCGCCCTTGACTTAAGTAACAACCAGAAGGAAATGTCCCAGTAAGCATTGAGAGCATTAAGATTCACCTTGTGCAATAACCAGTTGTTGGCTCGACACTTGGACAACTACAGCTGTTGATATGGATGAGCGTGGGAGTGAGTTGAGGAGGAGGTGGCGCCGGGCCTGCTTCTTCTTCCTGTTTCCGTCAAACACACGCAGACTCAGACCCCGAAGCCGTGACTTTGAAGTGGTGTCTTTGATTAAGCAGTTAATTAAGGCAGAAGCTGCATGGAAGCGAGCAGATAACTAAAACAGGAAGAGAGGAAAAAGGAGCAGATAGTGATATTGGCAGCTCGTCGGCTTGTCAAGAGCCAGAGTGAGGTCCTTCTGACGGGCAGAGCAGCCAGCTGGCACAGCGGGACGGAGTTAAAAGCTGTAAGAAGGAAAAAAACTGCCCACGTCTGAAAGGCACAGTTTCTGCCTTGCTGCAAGCTGTGGTGTTGGTGCCTCAAAGCATTAATAATAAAGGGTGGTGGGACAGCAGGCGGATGGTAATTTATACATTTGAGACAGAAAGACTAATGATAGGTGATGAATGCACTTGCTCTTGTTCTGATCTGATTCCTGCCTCCGTCTCCTCTCTGACCCACCTGCTCCTTCGTCACCTTTGTATTTATCTCCCTCTATCCCTGCTTTTTCATTCTCTATCCATCACTTCTTCCTCCTCCTCTCCCTCTTGTCTCCTCCTCCTTCATCAAACCCCAACACCACCGTCCTTACAGTTTAAGCCAAACATCTGCCTGTGCTCTTTCTCCACATCCTCTTCTTTCCATCCTCGTCAACACCATTATTCACATCTTCCTCTCTCTGTCCACACCCCCCCCCCCTCCCTCACATAAATCCTTCTTATCATGTATGAATCAGAAAAGGGGTTTATTGCACATCATTTTTTTGCAGACATGGAATTTGAGTTGGTGTTTGTTGCATACAATTAACATAATGAAAACACTGAGTGAAGAATGAAGGAAATGTTCCCTGTTGGAAAAATGTGTTGTTCAGTAGCTGGGAAACACACACACACACACACACACACACACACACACACACACACACACACACACACATACACACCTGGTAGTGTGGTGTTTTTTGTTTGGTTTTCTTGGTCTGATTTATTCGGGAATTAGAAAAGGCTCAGTAGAATCTTAAATATGAAACTTTTTGTCACATGGTGGTGATGGTAAAAATAAATAGGGATAACATCGAAATCTCGGGCTATAACCTCACTCAAAAATACAATCGGGATTAATGATGAAACTCTTTGAATTCACTTTATAAATACAGAGAGATATCCACAGTTTAGGGACAGAAAAACAGAGCACTACTCTGACCGGTAATTTTATAGGACACATAAGTAACATTAAAAAAAAAAAGGAATCCAGTGATGGGTTAACATAATAACAAGTAATAAAGTCAAGTAGCATATTATAAGTATTGAAACATTCTAAAAAAAAAAAAAATTAATATATTTGTAAAAATGTATTATCCACTCTTTCCTTGTTCCTCCATCTCCACCAGCCTGGTTTCTATAAAGGCGTGGCGGGCTCCCAGGTGACCCTGTCCAGCCTGGTGAACCAGACGCGGGCCATGCTGGAGGAGCAGGCGCGCCACCTGCTGACGGAGGTGGAGCGGCAGACCATGGGCTACTACGTGGAGGAGTACCGGGAAGGACACATCGGGGTGGAGCAACTGGTGGTGGCGCTGTTTGAACTGCTCAACACGCACGCAAAGGTGAAGGCTTGTTTCAGAAAAAAGCTTTAAAAGAGCATCACTCTCCTGTCAGTCTGTGTGGGAGATTTATACCCAGGCTTTTTCCCTTACAGCACTGTTTTGTTTTTCTTTCATCCCCGGATCTTAAAAGTCTCTTGATTTTCTCACAGTCTGCAGTGGTTCACCTTGTAAAGAAACAAAATAAATCAAAGGCGTTTTATTTCAGATACATGTACCTACAGAAGGTCTTCTGTAAACTTCCTTTACTGCCTACAGTAAATCTTGGTTTAGATTTAAAGGAACATTCACATTTAATCCCATTAGTAATGACACTCACTATTCAGTTTAATGCACTAACCAAAGTTGTTGTTTTAAAGGGGATATGGCATGATAAAATCACTCTAAGTGCTTGTGAACATACATTTTGGAATCTGGAGTGCAACCAACCCACACACTGTCAGGAAAACACTACCCTGTCAGTTATTTGTGAGCTGCCTGGTAAGTAAATAAGGAATTCAACAAGCCATTCAGATTTGGTTCCGCTTTCTATGCCACACGCAGGCCTATTATAATATTCCGCCCCCTTATGAAAAAGTATGAATCTCAAATAAGTACAATATGTCCCCTTTAAATCACCATGAAATGAGCTACACTGTAGCTCACATGGAAAAGTGTGCCCCAATATACAAAAGCCAATCTGTATACGGTCAATACCACAGTCCATAGCAGCACAGGTTCAATTTCAATCCTGAGGCTGCAAATCATCCCCTCACTTTCTCCCCTTGTTTGTCTTCACCAGTTCTTATCAAGACAAGATACAACAAATGAATTAATCAGCATAAAGTACAGTTTAGGCCAAAACTAAGGAGGTCTATATGTACTGTATGACTACATCCCATCAACAGGACCTTAAATAGTTCTTCTTCAAGCAGTCACATCTAAACAATAACCTGTTTGTTGCTTTAAAAAGTTTGATACTGAGAATTAACTGCTAATCCATAAATGCCAAATCTTCTCAAAATAAGATGTTAGAGCTGTTGGACTGTTTCTGTTAGTCACAACACAAAGTAAAGTCCTCAGAAAACTCAGTTGGAGGGACGTTTATTTCTCATGAAGATATGGTTTAAGTTTATCGATCTCAGCAACCTTCAATAAATCAGGGTTTGGATGAAACACAACTTTTGGTGTATCTCAGTTGTAGAAAAAAACTTGTTTCAGTCCTTAAATGAATCCTAGTTTGTACGACCCACCCTAAGCCTGTTGCATCATACCTTTCCTCCCCTCTTGTGTCTCCCCCTCTGTCCCTCCCTCCCCCCCAGTTCTCTCTGCTGTCAGAGGTTCGAGGCCTGGTCACCCCTCAGGACCTGGAGCACTTTGACGCGCTGGTGCTGAGACGAGAAATTCAGGCTCTTAAAGCGCGACAGGGGCCAGCCGGAGCCACGGCACTGCAGCAAGACTCCCTGTCCATGGTGTCGTACCCAGACACTCTGACCTCATCTTCAGCCAGCTTCATGACCAACACCACCCTCAGCTCTGCACGGGTAGGCTGGGTTTATCAGTTCAATAACTCTCTGGCACCTTCTGATATAGTGCGGGCAGTCTTTTTTTATTTTAAAGGTCCCCTATTATACTGTTTTTCATCAATATATTACAGGTCTCGGATATATACAAAACATGTCTCTGAAGTGTTTGACTTGAAACACCAAACAGATCATTGCAGCATCCCATAATCCCCTCTGTTTCAGCCCTGTTTCAAAAGTGCTGATTCTCTGTGTGTTACTTTAGATGAAAATAAGGAGCCCCTCCCCACGCCCCTCTGAGAGATATTTGGTTAAAAAGAACACAATGGTGCTCTAGGAGGAGATTCAGGTGATAAGGTGGGGGGGGGGGGGTTACCTTGGTTGCTGATTGGCTAATGGTTACACAAGCCAAAACATCGTTATGACATCATAAAGTGGCTAAAATCTGATCAGCTCATTTTCAGACAGGTTTTTATATAAATGGATCAGGACAAAAAGAGAGAGAATTTTTTTTTCGTGAAACTTTCAGAATCTCTTTACACAGAGGGGACACATGTTGATGTAGAAAAGACATGAAAAAGTGGATTTTGCACAAGAGGTGACCTTTAAAGTATGTGGAAACATAACATCTGGATATGTTCAGGATAAACTGGTAGCTCTTTGTAGCTCTATGTGCTTAGGAAATATTCCATGGGATGCTATTTCTCTACTATTTTCATTTTGCAGCAACAGTTCAGTTTGGTATGATTTATTTATTTATGGTCTACCTTGCCTGTGTGTGTGTGAAAGAGAGAAAGGGGGTAGTGTGATATATTTCAATGGATTCTAACCGATTCTGATGTAGAAAAGATCCTCCTCTGATGTGGACTTTGTCAGGCTGAACAATGATACGTTTCAATGCCTTCACGCTGAGATGCTTTGGGTTGATATTTTGTATTTTCTTCACTTCAAAAAACCCCCCCTTACTCCCACATTCTCACCCAACAAACCTCCCCTCTCCCCTTCTGTAGGAAAGGCTGCTCTGGCTGATAGATATGATGGAGGTAGGAGTCGCTGCTGAAAGTGATGAATGCTTTTGCGAACACACACGTACAGGAAACACGATAAATAAGGAGTAGAGTCCTTTGTGTAGCAGGCACACACACACTCTGACCTTTACCTCGGTGTGTGGTTTTGCAGTGAATTTGTTTGCGGTGTTTCTTTCTTGTTTTTCTCTTTGCTACCTTGACTTGGACATTACCTGTAGTGCTTTTAAAGAAAGTGCTGTGTCTCTCCACAATCCTAATAGGCTCTGTTGATACTGTGCAGGTAGACTTGAGTTCTCATGTGTGGATTGGATCATAATTACAGAGAGGAAAGATTGTTTCAAGGAATATTTAGAAGTGATATTTACAATTAATTAGTTATTACTGTTGAGGGTTATTGTGCATGAAACACGCACATAGACACATTGCATTGCATTACATTATGCTCTTGTCCGACCAACCCGATAGATGACCCATCTTTTAAACAGCCATTCAAAGATACTCAAAAGTACCAAGAATTACATGGGACATAAAATAACTACTTAATTACACAAACTACTACAATACCCATAAAGAGGCAAAAAAAGGCAATAAAAATAAACACAAATGTATCACCCAGAGATGCGTATCCAAATATTCAAAAGGACAAAATAAAGTGTATAATTTTGACCGTTATGTAAAACTGGTGGGTCTTTTTGCATATTTGATCCTAGGGGCCTATTAACTCATCATCAGCCCATGATGCGCCTACTATATCGTACATACTGTGATGAGTAGCCCCACAGAGTAAACTATTGTCAGTTACACATGTGCCAACAACTTTCAAACTAATATGTTGGTAGGTAGTTTTTAATATGGTTATGTAAAAGTGGAAGCAAGTGTTATGTTATGGATTAAAAAGACCACTTGAACCCAGGTAACCACACACACAACACACTGTATCTCTGTTGACAGCAGAGATATGCTGTTGACTGCAGATGTTCCCTCCAAACAGTCCCTGTCTTTGAGATTCCATTGATGTTTTGTTTTTTACCTTTCTGCTTCCCCCTCAGAGAAGGGACTTTACATATGTGGGAGTGTGTGTGTTGTTCTTTATTCTATCCATGTGTCTTTGTGTGTCTATTTTTGTCATTTTGGTCCCTGGGTGACTGCTTCCACAGCAGCGTAAAGCAGATTAGAGAGCTTTGTGGGTTTGGGAGGGAGATATCGACACTGGATTTCTGAACCACGCTCAAAACCAGGTATATAGTCAACCTGCATACCAATGAAGCTGCACACACACACTTACACAAACAAACATACAAAAACACAGTTGCAGCTTGCTGGACAAACACATCGTTGCTTGAGGATTCAACAAAAATAAAATGTTATTTAACATTCAATTAAAAATGTTCCTCCTAATATGTAAATGGTTAAGATATTTTTACATTTAGGCATCTTATATGCTTATTAAAAGAAAAGAAAAAAATGTATTATGAGTCTGAGATTAGTGAAAGTATCTACTGTATGTATTCATGCTGTATAACTTTAAACTAGCTATTAAGACCATGAACTCATCAGGAACATGTGCATTTAGATCATAAATAAAGTGAAGGTTAAGTCAATTTACTTCATAGACTTCTATACAATCTGACTTATTTTTGCATGGAGCAAGTCAAAGGCACTCCCCTATAAATTAGATATCAATATATATATATATTTTATTTATCCCAAATAGGGAAATTATGAAAATTATGATTATAGAGAGAACAGAATGGTTTATTGTTGTATAAATAATAATGTTTTGAAAGCATTGCCAATAGACTGCAGATTGGTCATGGGTCTATTGTCCTTTGACAGAGTCTTGGGTCACTTTTCTCAGGACTGAGCATGTATCATTAAAACTGTATAAAAGCAGACTCTTCAGGTTGAGTAGTTGCATTCAGATGTAGAGACATTGCTCTCTGCATGCTGTGTGCTACATACAGAGATCAGGGCAAAGAGAAGGGCAACTCTTTATTGCTGAATCTCCCAGAAGTTGCCCCTTGATCTAAACATGGCCTTGCCCAGACCTAGCTGTGTGCGGCAGCAGGTGGTACAAAACCTTTCTTCCACTATCTCCTATTGTAAACCTGATTTGAAAAATGATTTACTTTGGATTTGCTCAAAACATAATGGGTTCCTTGGCCCATGCTTCACCCTTACCCACGTTTTTGAAAAACGAGGCCGGTAGTTTTTTCTGTTCTGCTGAGAACGAACCGAAGCAAACACATAACTTCCATGGCGGAGGTAATCAGGCGTCTGTGGGAAGATTTGTAGTGTTTGTCATCACGATTGTTTCCACTGTCGCAGTTTAACATCTGTGGTGCTGTCTTCTTCAGTGATTTGCTGTTTCAGATCTAAAATAAATCAGAGCTACAAGATCAGCCTACGTGTTCAGTCTAGATTGCACATCGTTTGTCTTTACGATGGTTATCGTCAGATAAGTGATCATGGTGCCTTGTTTGTTTGTTTGTAGCCTTTATTTAACCAGGTTAAAAAATCCCATTGAGATCAACGATCTCTTTTTCAAGGGAGACCTGCGGTACATTAGTTACACATAAAAACAACAGAAAACAAAAGGACATCACAACATAATTACAGGGGTATACATTAGCAACCTATTTACATTGACAGGTATCCAATAACATTTCATCCAGCCGTGCTTTAAAATGATGCAAGGGAATCAAAATGCTCAGTTTCAATGTTTTTTGCATAGTGTTCCAAGCTAGAGGAGCAGCGCACATAAAAGCTTTAGTACCTAAAACAGTCCTAGCACTTGGCACATGTAATAAGAACACATCCTGGGATCTCAGGCAATAGCTACTTGCCACTCTCTGTGAGATCAAAGAGCAGATATAAGTCGGTAGTTTACCCAGCATGGCTTTGTAGATGAACATGTACCAATGACTGAGCCTCCGACCAGTAAGTGAAGGCAGACCTGCCTTGGCATACAGGGTACAGTGATGAGTAAGTACTTTACAGTTAGTAACAAATCTCAGAGCACTGTGATAGGCGGCATCTAACCTTTCCAGGCAATGGGCAGGTGCATTCATCAAATCACCATAGTCTAGCACAGCTAAAAAGGTCACAGTGACTAGCCTTTTTCTGGCTTCAAAAGAGAAACAGGACTTGTTTCTGAAAAAGAAACCTAGTCTAACCCTCAGCTTTTTAAGCAGATTAGTGACCTGAAGTTTAAAAGTAAGACAATCATCAAGCCAGATACCAAGGTATTTATAACAGCTAACCACTTGGAGTACTTGTCCTTGCATAGTCACAATATCCAAAGCAGTCTCTGGAGTCTTTTTAGCTTTAGAAAAGAGCATTACCTTGGTTTTCTCAACATTTAAAAGAAGCTTTAGTTCAGAGAGCTGAGTCTGAATAATGTTAAAAACAGCCTGTAATTTAACAACCGCCTCCTTAATGGAGGGACCTGCACAGTACATCACGGTATCATCCGCATAAAAATGCAAAGTACCTTCATCCACATTTTCACCTAAACTATTGATGTAGATGGAGAATAAAAGTGGACCTAAAACAGAACCTTGAGGAACACCATTAGCAATGTTCAACCACTCAGAAGACAGCCCATCAAAGTGAACACATTGGGACCTTTCAGAGAGGTAGTTCACAAACCACCCCACTGCATGGCTGGATAAGCCAATACTGAAGCCAATTAAATTCCTGCTGAGAGAATGTAGAATTAATTATTGTCAACCACATCAACCTTTGCACAGAGAGTGTCACAAAGCACATCTCAGACATTGTCACATTTTTAATGGGGCCCTTAATTGCTTATACTCATCATATTTGTATTTGGTGCCTCTATTGTGACATGTTAACATGTTTTAATGCTCAAAAGATCTTTAGTTTCCACATACTCCTTTTCACCCTCTGTCTGAAACCACAGCCCAGTCTGCTTTGATTGGTTAGTTGGCCGGCTCTGTTGTGATTGGTTAACAGCTGAGAGAAAAACACAGGCAGGGGGGGGGGGGGGGGGGGAGGGAGAGTGGGAGAGTGACTGCTTCTGGAGGGAATTTTAGCCTTTGCATACCATTTACATGCAAACAAATCTATATAACACATGCGCCCCATAACGGAGAGCCAGCTAAAATGGTGACATCATTGTGTTTTTGCCATGAATTGTCACCGATACAAAATTGGCTTTATTCTACTAAATAATTTGTAAAGAGAAAATATTTCCCCCCCAGCAGCAGATCGGATTCTTACCCCAGAAGTCAAACCAACCAATTACAGTCAACCTCCACACTGTTTTCCCACCATAACACATACACATCACACTGCTCACTGCGTTTGCACGGCATGTTGACATTGGATATTAATCCTGTTCTGCAGAATTACCTGAGATGATTATTGGGTACTCTCAGATACACATGCTCCCACACCACACACACACTTTCTCGATGGATGTTAACTACAGATGAACATGATCACACATGAACAAACACAGCGTGCCCTGACTGCTTACAGTGCAGAGCAGCGTCTCCGCATGTGGAAAGTCGATTGAGTCTTGCAATAAATAAATTGTCTGTAAGTGCTCCCCGTGCGGTGACGAGCGGTGATTACGCTGAATAGCTGGGGCTTTTGTTTTGGTTTAGTGGCAGAGTTAAATGAAGTTCAGCGCTTCCCTGAACTCAGCTCCTTGGCTCGGAAATCATTCACAGATCTGCTGCAAATGACCTCCCCTCCCCCACGCCACTGGGATTGAGCCTCCAAATCCAGCTTTGAACTCAGCTGATGGCCCTCTATCGATTTTCCCGGCATGTGCATTTTGCTTAGCTAGAAGACTTGATCTGTGTGTGGGTGTGTGTGTGCCTATCTTAATTGCTTTCCTTCCCTATTAATTTCAAGATTGACAAGCGAACGCAAACATATATTGACATCTTTCCTTTTTTCTAGGAAACATGGAACATCCACCAAATCTAATTTAGCATCTAACACACATCTGTGTTTATCATCCCGCTGACTTTCATCCCTCTCTTCTCCCCTCAACCTCTCTGTTTCCTGGCTCTCTTTCACCTCGCGTCCCTCTTACTCCATCTTTGTCTCTCAGAACGACAGCGCGGTGGACAGTAATAAGGCGGATCCCCCGGAGAGTCTGAACACGCTTCTGGCCGACATCTCTCTGGTGAGCCCGGCAGGCACAGCCCTTGCTCTGGTGTGATAAAGATGGATTCCACACAGGGGAGAAAATTCAAACGAAATATTAAAGGGAGGTATTGAGATAGGGACTGATGACGGTGCTTTGAAAGTAAGTGTTGGTGAAGCCTTTCCACTTTCCTTTTTTGTTGTTGGTTGGAAAGAGGATCGGCCACCTGGCATGTCCAATTATCCTCCCACCCTTCTCCATACTTCCAAGAAGGAGGTGGTTACGGTCAGGGTAAAAAAAAAAGGTTTGCGCTTTCCAAAACAACAAGAGATATCTGAGGCTCAGTTTCTTCTGAACAGAAAGAGATGAGATGGAGATCAGGGAGAATGCTTTTACTCAGCAGTCGTCCAAGGCTACCTGCCGCTCAAATCATTACTTCTTTTTCATTTTTACACTCATTTTATGTCTCAGTCCATATTTTTGTGAGCCACTCTGTCTCAGTGTCCATCTTCAGTTTTTGTTCAAGCATTTTTACATTTTAATACAGGGTCCCGATGGAGCAGCAACGTTTTCTACATGGTTTGGATGTGTTAATGTTCCTCTAGATGGCTGTTATTTTCACTGAAACTGAAAGGGTTCAACAGGTGTCTAATGCAATTGTTTGAGTTCAAATTGGTTTAAGGAACACTGTGTTTAAAATGTGCTTGTAAATGAACATTGCATGTGTAAATATACAGTCATTCAAATAAACAAACGTCAATAGGACACATACTTATCAAAACCTGGCAAAACTAAACAATAATTACTGTAGAAACAACTACAGGTAAGTTACAAAGCAACCTGGCAGATATTTTTCTACATACAAATAAAATGAAGAAGAAATAATACCTTTACCTCTCATAGAAAGTGAGTCTTACATTTGAGAAACATTCAAAAAAATATGCAAGTAAAAAAAAAACAGTTTGTCAGGATTAAATGTTGATTAAAACAGTAAGGTCATGTTTTGTTCTGCCGGATATATTGCCTTGATACATTATTACACCCTTAATCAATGATGAATATATCCTCTCACTTCAGGACGACGTACAGTCCACCCCAGCTGAATCCCCCCCCTCCTTCAAGCCTCCGCCCCCACCAGGGGTGCAGAGGCGGCCAACTAGACGAGATCCGGTCAACAAAAGCCCCTCGTCCGAATCCTCCCACTCAGGCCTGTACTTCACAGCCCCGTCCAATAACCAGCGCAGCAGAGAGCCAGGACACGCCCCCGCCTTACCCTCACTGCACAAACGGGAGCACCCCAGGGACCCCTCCCGGGACTACGCGGTCATTAAAAAGAGAGAACCCACGGTACCTTCCAGGAGAGAACAGATAGCTGCTGCTCAGCTGTCTAAGGTCACACAGCCCAACATTGGCCCTTTCCCAAGGGTCCTGTCCCCCAGCAGGGGCACCAAACCCGCTGCCCCGTCCCCTTCACCTCCACCTCCACCTCCACTCCCTGCCCCTCCTCCACCCCCTTTTCTTCCTTTTAAACCAGTGTCCATGTCCAAAGTCCCCCCCTCCTCTCCGGGCTCTAAGCAGCAGTTTGTTACGGTGGAGGTTCACAGGCCCAACGCAGAGCCCGACGTCAACGAGGTGCGGCCCCTTCCCCAAACTCGAGGTGAGGGACAGACAGTGGAGCTCCGGAAGTCCAATATACATATGTCATTTTTATCTTTTAAATAATAACATGCACAAGTGTGGATGCAACTAATAATGACTTTAAATGTGGGCTCCATATTCAGTATGTATTGACTGTTCTTGTAGATACAAATATAGTCTTTACATTATTTACAAATCTAATTATTGCTCACCGTTTCTCGCCACCTTATGTACTTATTATGTAGGATATGTATATGTGTATACTGTAAATACCATGTACTATCTCTCCAAATATGTATTTATTTGGGATAAATGCATTACCCAGAAAAATGTGTATCATTGCAACTCTATGCAAAACGTCACTAAATCTTAAAATCAGATACATTTCCAAATTTGATTCTTTTTAGCAATTCTGCTAAACTGAAGAACGCTCTGAAAGTTGAAGCAAGTTTAAAACAATACAAATAAAATATAGTATTGCTTTTATATAGTAAAATGAAATCCCCACAATAGATGATGTGCTGTTTTCCCATCCTCACGTCCCATGTGCTGTTGACCCTCAGGTGGCGCTCTGTCTCAGCTGTCAGACAGCGGCCAGACCCTCAGTGAGGACAGCGGGGTGGACATAGCTGAGTCAGGACACATCAGCAAAGACAGCAGCACCCACTTCTCACACACACGCCACCCCCGGGACACCCAGGGGGGCGGGGGGGACCACCCCTCCAAACCGGTGAGGGGGCGATTCAGAACAGCTGTGAGCCAAACATGGATGGATGAGTGGATTCATTGTTAAACTTTGATGAATGGGACATGTATTTAGTTTAGTTAGGTGTGTGTGCTGTCATAGTTCTGTCTTGTGAGGACCCATTTCTGTGAGTTTTAAGAAGTGCGGCACATTTGGAAAGTGACACAACTTTTGGAAACCCGAAAAGGGTTGAAGGGCCTCTTTAAGCCATATTTTAAAGGTTACAGTAAGAATTATTTGTATTTAAAGAGATACAGTTATGAGTTACTGTATGGGTCCTTGCAAATATAGAATGGTGTGTGTGCTGAAAAACAAACCATCGTTGATAAACTGATGTGCTTTTATTGCTAATCCTCCAGAATCTTTTCTCAAACCCTAACTGTGATCTCTTCTCTCCTCCCTCTGTTTTGCTCACACAGTTTCCTTTGTTTCACTCATTTGTTTATTCCTCATTCATGTCATTCATTAATTCATTCCATCATTTATTTCACCGCTCACTGCAGTGTAGCGTTATGACAAGCGCTCTCTGGTTCTTATTGATTGATGGGAGAAATAACAAGTAAGGATGGAAGTAGCCTAATGCTTTATGAGGAGAGGGCCGGTCGATTCAATATCTGTTTTAGATTAGAATCATTAGGCAGGAGATGTGACGGCTGAATCTACTTTGTCAAAGCATTTACTTTCTTTTTGCTCCTGAGAAAACTGAATTAACTTTTAGAGGGCAATTGTTTAAAGCTTTTTATAGTCTAGTCATTCCTATTCCAGCCATAAAAACACATCAGGAGTTTGTTTCATTAAGCAGTAAGCAAAAACATTGATTCACAGATGTTATGTCCATATTCTATGATAAATTGGCGTTTGATGGAAAGCACAGTTTGCAGTTATTTGTTATTGACAGAAAAAATGGAGCGTGGAGAGAGAGGAGGATTGAAGTCCTGAGCTGGAATTGAACCGGGAATGCTGCAGTAATATGATATGCCTCTTCACCAGCTGGACACCATTGATATTTCCCCTTACCATATGGACATAGAATCCAAGTAGCGTGTTTCAAATTAACATACAGATGAAAGAAACCCCTCAAGGAAAAAGATTCCCCCCATTGGGTTACAGAGGCCAGTGTAAAAGAAGCTTTACGATAGTGAATACGTAATATGAATGCGTTTAAAAGATTGCTTGTGAAATGGTTATTTCTTATGTCCTTTGACTTGTGAAAGTGTACAACATGATTGTTCATTCATGGATTGGTCACCAGGATTAAATATGTACATAATAATAGAAAAGAGGTCTTTATGAATGTGTAAACCCATTGAGAAGACCCTTGAGTGTGTGTGCTCAGAAGGAAGCTCATAACTGTATAATCAAGATTCAAGGCTTTTTTTATCATTCGTACATAGCTACAGTTTAGTTAAGTCGATGAAAATCTTAGGTCACAGGCTCCTCCAACAGTGCAACACAATAAACAGATAAAATAGTGCAAGTCAATACAATACAATAGAATAGAAGTAGTGCCATAAGAGTCTATATAAAGTGATCCATCATTTGTAAGTTACAAACAGGTGCATGTTATGGATGTTCTAAAGAACAAAAGAAGGACAATAAATGCATGCATAGTGGCAGGAAGGGGAAGCAGACATAGAGAGGTTGTATGATGTGATGAATATTAGGGGTTTATAAATACGCATTAATGATGTTCTTCTGATTTAACCTGTGCTCCTCTCCCTCCCTTGCTGTAGCCGGGGCTGTTGGAGCCCACCTCCTCCCTGGTGAGGGTGGCAAAGAGCGCCAGCACTCTGGGGATCGCCATTGAAGGCGGAGCCAACACGCGCCAGCCCATTCCACGAATAGTCACAATACAGGTGAGTGAGGAAGAACACAAAACAAGGTATACAATAATGATGTAATATAAAAGAATACACCCTTTATAAAATGTATAAAATAATAAAGTACCTTTACTTTGATTCACATATATATTGTTATGTTGCTATGAAGTAAAGGACTTATGTGTCTGCCATACAGATATAATATTTACATTTAATGTTCACTTTCAATATCTTAAATCTTTCAACACACATCAGTCCTCATCATACACACAATATACATTCCTTTGTCGAATTGTAACCCCTTTAAATAGCGATTTCTTTACGAAATGCCACACAAATGAACCTTTTAGCTGTATACTTGTTGCTAAGGTGATAACCTTTTTTCTGCATTCTGGAATGTGTGAACAATTAAAAAAAAAAAAAACATTCATTTTGATGCATTTGTATTGTTATGCAGGAAACCAATTAAATATGTATTTGGCCGAAAGGGCAAACATGATAAAAATGTCTCAATCTGGTGGGAAATAATCAAAACTGTAATTTTGCTGCCAGAGCTCCAGATTGATAAAGGCTAATATAATAGAAGGCATGGTTTTATCATGTAATGGCCGTGGGATAATCTGTATTTGGCAACTCACTTTATTATACACTTTTTATAGGAGCTGGGGATCTTAAAGGGGTGTGGGGAAACACTCACACACTTTCCAAAATCTGTGCCATATGCAATAAAGCACAACCGTTAACTCTGTATACTTTTTAACAATCAGCCGACTCAGTTTTGGTGAATATTCTCCTTATTATTAGCTGTGTTTATTATATCCTGGGTGCCTTCTTCTGTGACTCTCTGTGATGGAATCATGCGCCCACCTGCCAGCTGGGATTTGATGCCCTTTAAGGATTGAAATGGATTCACACTGCAGCTGAACTCACACTGAGATTCCTACTAATTGAGTCCTCGTTGGGGATTGTGACATTGATGTGTTCATGAGAACGCTTAACTGCCTTGAGACTCAATTCCCTGCGATTCCCTTCTCAGTATAAGGCAGTTAGTAAAACGTTGAAGTTGAGGAATAAAGGCAGAATTAAGACCTATGGTGCATTATCACAGGTTATGATACGGCTCAGCTCAGATATCTTCATGTTGAGGGCTGGGTTGAGCAAGACACATTTGCATTTCTGCATGAAAAACTATTGTAAATCCAGATTTGAGATTCAAATATTGACAATAAGGCACCTCGGAAAGCTATTACTGTGACTGGATGTGCATATATCTGTCTGCCAGAGTAATGTGCAAGTCAACAAAGGCCTGCATTAGCTCAGGAAGCAGGGAGTTTCAATTTGAAGATCAGTGCAGCGAGCAGCCTCAGACTGCAGTCCGAACCCCGTTCAAAGCCGTGTCTCATCCCAGCCTCCCACTGCACAGAGGTGGTGATTGGAATAAAAAAGGGTAGCTGATTGCCAAGGGAGGGATAAAAGGATTGGAAATGAGCACATTCAAAATCAAAGGGTGCACTGAGAAAAGAGGGCGGCGAGTGTGAGTGAAGGATGCAAAAGAAGTGTGTTAATAAGGAGAGGAGGAGGGTTTGTGCAAATGAGGAAGAGGAGGTTTGATGGTGTTGTTGATGGATGCAATATTTGGGAATTTGATTGGTGTGTAGGTGGTGGGAGGTGATGCATTGGGACCAAGTAAACAGATGTGTTTTTAATGTGAGATACAAATCCCTAAACAAATGCAGGAAGATGGGATTTAGGGTTCTCTTGCTTTTTTAATTGACTGCGGTAAACGCATTACAAAGCCCCGAAACACTTCAATTATATTTCCAGCATTTTGTTTACGCAGTGCTTTTAGTAAATGTTGCGTATGTGTAGTCAAGTTGGTTTCTTCATTTGCATGTGTTTTCGCACATATGTGATTTTATATATTTTCATCATTTGTTCAAGTGCAGCAGTTTCTCCTAATGAAAGTGTTTGTGACGTTTGGGAACACATCTATTTTTATTTCCTATCAGAGATGGGTCTTTGTTTCATTATTGTTTGTCCTTTTATCTGTTTCTTAGCTCTGTTCTGCTCTGTATGAAAGTGATAACTATCACAAAGTTCCTATTTTCCAGATAAAAACATCCATTTTAACCCAATAAAATAATAAACCATGAAACTATTGAAGGTAAAAAAAAGCACTTCTCAAGAATGCCAGCACTTCAGATGTCTGTACATTCGTAGGAATTCTAGTCATGAAACCTCACTTCATCCCAGTATTAACAATGACCCAACCACACAAGAAAGAAACTATCACTCAAGAGATGAAGCCACTAAAATGGCTCAACCCATTACCAATTCCTCTAAACCTCAGATACTTGAGCCGAGAGTCTAATGAAAATAAAAAGGCAGCTGATTGCGATGAATAATAGTGGAGGAAATTGGTGCGATGGGTGTGAGGAGGTCCAATGAAGCTGCCCCGAATCAGGTTAAAATTCATTAAATGAGCTCATTTTAACAGAGCTTATTTAAACAAGTAGATTGGAAATGTAATCAGGTTTAAAATATTGCCTGGTCTCTTATTACGGCTTCCCATTTTTGCAATTGCATATATTTATCCAAACTTTGGTTTATTGAGGTAATAACCCTATCAATCAGAAGCGAGACAGAGCCAGGAGCCACATGACACCGCCGCTGCTTCCCTCAACAATAACACCGTATGGCTGCAGTCATTTGGAGACATTCATAACAAAGTAGCCTCAAGGTCACACCATACAGAAAAAGGAATACTTTTTTCCACGTTAACTTTCCAAGATGGAAAAGTGATGCGTCAAAACTTTGCTCTGTCACCTGGGGAAAGCTAACTCAATGTTATTAGACCCTTGAGCAAGGCACACTATCGCAATACGCCCCTCAATCAGACCCAAGCATCAGAATGATACATTTGCTTTGAAATAACCTGTTATATTGTGTCTGGCTTCCCGATGAGCGTGCTATCCCAGGGACAGATCACATGAAACGCCCTCTAGAATATAGTTTCTCTGCGAAAAAGAAGCAGAGTGGAGTCGTGTTACTGCAGACTTCTAGCTTCTGCTTTTCTTTCTCTCCGGGGCACGAGGGTTCTCGCCTCAAGTCACCTCAATCATGGCCGCTGAAGATGAAGTGCAGATGAGTGAGCTGCTGCCGGCCGGCCTCTCGTTATCAGTCCCATCATCGCTCCTGAAGCGACAGCCCGTTATCACCACGACGACTCGGGGTAATTGTTGCAGGCTCAGTAAATAAGAGAGTCTGTGATGCAGCCATTACACTGCCAACTGAAACAAAGTTAAGGTCAGCGGTTCAACTCCAACCCAGGGCGCCCCTCCATGCAAACCTCTTCTTTTGTTGGATAACCCATCTCTCTTTCTTAATACATTTTATTACTTTGATTACAGTCGTTGTTCATTCTGCGTTATTAGAAGTTCTACTTTCTTTTTCATTTGTACAAACACATTTATAGAAAATAAGATGCTACAATCTAAGAATAAACTAAGATAATAGGGGTAATTCCCTTTGAGGTGTCCATAGCCTTTTGACACATCCCCATCTGTTATCAGAACACCTGAGGGTTTGACTAATACCTGGAACAATCATTACAAACCCATAAGGTTCCAATGCAAAGCGACTTGTATGTGAGTTTACTCTGGTTTAATTATATATTCTTTCTAACTTCTTGCCCAGAAGGCATAGCTTTGAGTAACTGTGTATCTGGTGGTTTTAAAACCTTGAGGCACTTGAGGACGTAATGACATCAGTTAAAGTATCTCACAATTATACTTGAGTACAATACTTGAGTAATTGTAGTTGTTTACATTCCACCACTGGAAGCAGGCATAGTTGCAATGTGCCTCGCCATTAACCAATCACGTCTTACAGATTGAGAAGAGTGGATCAACTGCATGATGGATTTGTGGATTCTGAGCGACACAGTACATCAACTTCTTCCTCCTTGCAATATTATCGCTGGTCAACTTGGCTGCTCAAACCCATCAGTAGTATTTCAGTCACTAAAGTGTCATTACGTAATGAGGTCAGCATTCACAGTCAGGAGGAGAAGAACCTGGACCTGACAGGAAGGAATCCATGTTTCTTACTTGGTGCTTTTAAGATCACACGAATGTTGAACCTGAGAGTCCGTGTTTCCATTAAAGCAGCATTAGTGCCCTTTCATGTCTATTTGATGGCAGAAGAACTCCAAAACAGGCAGACAGAGAACACCACTCTGACATTATATTTAATAAAAAGTGATATGGCTGGCATGTTAGTAAAACATCAGGCCTTTTAGCTGCTAAATATTTTACTTTCTTTAACAGTTAGTAGCTAACTTGATCTGTCTGCTGTCTCTTGCTTACAGTACAGCAGGTTTTAAGTAAGGCTGAGGAAAAAGTAAAATGGGAAAAAGATGAAACTGCCCACATCCTCTTTTCCTCTTGAAAATAAGGTGGCTTCTTTTGTTGCTCTTGTGTTTGGGAAGTAGGTGGAATCCGCTCATCCAGATCTGTCTCAAAGCTCGTAATGACTAAAGAAATGACATTACATTTTGCCTTAACTTAAGATACCCACTTGTTCTTGCATTGCCACCGTCTGTAATGCTGGTACAGGATGTGAATCATGAACAGCAGGGAGGTCCAAATTGAATGTGTGATGAAAGTAATTCGGGAAAAATAACTGATTTTTAGCAGTTTTCACTGTGAATATAAACACAGGCTGCTGATTTACTTTTCACAATCAGAGTCAGAATACCTTAGTTTATCGCAGGGGGAGATTAGGTTGCTTGACACTATTTTAGGGTAAAATAAATATTTTAATAAATATAAGAAGCAGAAGTAAAAATGTGCATAAAAGTTGTAGCCACTGAGAATCATGCAATCACGGTCGACCCCAACAGTCCGGCAGACATCAATGGAAACGTCGTCCTCAGAAATATCCAGGTGCTGCCACGTTTCCTGAAAAGCACATTAAACTACACTCCAGGTATCCATCTGACATCTGGCTAATGCCGTTAGCTCGTCCATTTCATTAGCGAGTGATCTTACGTTGCCCATGATGAGAGGGGGAGGGGCAGAGACCAGTCCGATGAGCGGGAAAAAACATCGGCCATTGCTCCGTCAACCATATCTGTCCTCTGTGGATTTGACCGTGTAGAAGAAGCAGATGGGTTGAACAAATATCACTCTTTATTCAAGTTTGCGATAGAGAGACATGTGTTTTGAGGATCCACTTGAGTGACTTCTCCGGAGCAGAGAGAGGCTTTAGATTAACTTCACACAGAAATTCAGACTGTAGATGCTGGCATTCTTAAGTTTTACTGATGCTTTGTGTTGATATACTGGTTCTTTTAAGAGTCTTCAGATATCACTGCCGAAGAGCTGAGACTTCCTCAAGAAATAAGAACTGAGTCTTTGTGAATTGTTCTGTGCATGTCTTTGGTTGTCAATAACAATGTCTCTCTTGATTTGAAGGAAATGTGTGAGTGTGTAACTTCAAAAGGAGAGTGCTGCCGGTCACGAGGAAACATTTCATTTAGTTTGAAGCAAACACTTCTTTCTAAAGGAACAGAAATGCAAACATTTACAGCTGTGTGCTCTGAGGGCTAATGGGATTTTCTGTTAAACAAAGGCTCTATTTCCGTATGGTAATGTCCCTGTGACATTTAGGGCATGATGTTTAGCTTAGATACTGAGAGGACCTAGTTTGCTTGGATGTAATAGAACAAAAGTAAGGATATCAGACTTTTAAAAACTCCTTATGAGGGCTGAGCCAGAAACAGGTGGGCTTTGGACCAGGGCTGTCGTTTTTTGATGGGAGTTATTTTTGCTTGATGATTACATTAATGATGATAACAATCAATCACTAACTGATGTACAAACAACCGCTTACCGCTTTTTTTAATAAAATGTCCCCGACTCCCGCTGGTATATAACAAATTCTGTTGGCTTCAAAGTAAAGTGAGTTATTATTTGTATTTGTTCCAAGGGCAGTACAACAAACTACGGTAATGACGTAGGACTGGAATAAACAGAAATGGGAATATAGACAAAAAAGAAAGTAGAAAGAATGTGTTATTACCATGCAAACAAATTCATGTTTTTAAAGATGGAACATTACAATAATAATAATCATCATCATAGTGGGGTTTAAACATAAAATATTAGTTATATTTTTAAACATGAATTAGCTACTAGCATATTCTCCAGTCAAACAAAGACGACATTCAGAAATGGCACACATTTTTATTACATTACTTATATCAGATTTGTATGTCTTTATATTTGAATATTGTGTTTCTATCTTTTACAAGACAAGGAAGGAGATGTTTTGTGTTCTGTCTCCTTCATTCTTCAGATTGTGAAGGGATGCTTGACCTTAATTATTATATTGCCCTTTTGTACATTTGGATGTACACAAGAAACATTGTTATCCCTCCGTGCCGGCGACAGCCTTGGACGAGGCAATATGTTTGTCTGTCTGTCAATCCCATTCTTATCGACACCAAGGACACCATAAAGGAATGTATTACATTTTGGAACAAACATCCACCTAGACTTAAGGAAGAAACTCATTTCAGGTATCAAAGAATAACATCATCGGGACAAAAGGACGTACCGGGAGTGTCATTTTGAGAATTAGTGGCCTTTTTGGCTCGAGACAGAAATGTTTGACCAGTTTTTTTAAAGGTCCCATGTCATGCTTTTCCGGTTATTACCCGTCCCCTTGTGTGTTATGTAGTTTTTTCTGCATGTAAACCGTCTGCAAAGTCACAAACCCTCAAAGTACACCCTGTAGCGAGTAAAACTCTAACACAGAAAATACCTGTCTATGCCCCAGAACGCCTCGTTGGAGATTTTTATTCTTCCATTTTTTTCTTCCTGAGTATGGTGACGTGACCATGCCCAGGTCCAAATGGACCAATCCGTGGAGCTCCTCACACACACACACACTCACTCAGCCTTATCTTTTCTCAGCCGCGCTACTCCGCGGATTTCTCAGTCTGAACTCAGCCTGAAGCTCAGGCTGAGTTCAGGTGAGTTTTGCGGTGTCTCGCTGTCTCGCAGACCCCACGCAGCAACCAGGAAACGACCCCAGTAATACAGCTCACACTGTCCGCAGCAGCGAGACCCGCAACGTCCCGCCAACACGGCACCCAGACCCCACGCAGCATTCTCATCTGTTTGTCATTACTGGGGTCATTTTCTGGTTGCTAACAAACGCCATTGTAACACATAATCACTGATGTTCCACTGTAACGGTGGTGGACTCATCAGAACAGAGTGGGCGAGCTGACCAATCAGAGCACAGTGGGCTCACAGGGAGGGGGGGGCAGGAGCTCCAACAAGCCGTTTAGGACAGAGAGTGAATACACATATTATACAGAGATGCTGTATGAGAAACCAATGTGAGTTTGGAACATTGAACAATGTAAATCTATTCTAGTAGACCTCAACAATGGAATTATGATCAGTAGAAATGGCCATGTCATGGGACCTTTAACACTAATACAGTTTTTGTGATTATTAAAGTAACGTGATGTTGCCGAAGCCCTTCAAGACCCTTTAGGATGTGTTGCTCACACCTGTCTCTTTAGTCTGTATCAGCAGGTCATGCCTTCACTACTGTAAATCAAAACAAGCCAAGGCCAGTCAAGCCGATGTGAGCTGGAATACTAAGTGACATTATACTGCGCTGCTCACTTCTGTACCAACACATAGAATGCTTAAATAGTTGCACACATATGGACAAGCCTGTTATGATCCGTATTAGTTTTATTTTGTCCCTGTGTGTTCAGTGATTAGTCTTGTGTGCATTTAGGTTTGGGGTTTTCTGTCAGTCCTTGTGAGAGTCTTGACGTTGTTGGATGGATGTTTGGTTCTGAACTAGTTTATGTTTTGCCTTGCTATACTTTGTTTCCCTGGCCTATTCCACAAATAAAGGAATTTGATTTCTACCAACGGGTTGCTGCACTTGGGTCCTATATACCTCGCTATCCAGCCGTGAAGAAGCCTGGATTTTCAAAACATTTGGAAATTGTGTTAATTAAATATATTTAATGAAAAATATTTTTCAAACTGCTTAGGAGTGGAATTTATATCATACTACTTTTAGTCTTTGGGCACATAGGACAAACACGTTTTTTCCTCAAATGTGATGAAATGTATAGTAATAACAGCCCCCATGTACCCAGAGACTAAATATGCTGTTAAGACAAACTAGTTTCCCGACAAACGTTACCAAATCTGTTCAAACAAGTAATTCTCACATGAGGTTAATATATTTGGCTTTATTATCAGTTCTCCCAACATTGTTTTGTTCAAATCCACATTGTCTCTTTCTTTTCTTTCTCAGAGGGGGGGTTCAGCTCATAACTGCGGGCAGCTGAAGGTGGGTCAGGTGATCCTGGAGGTGAACGGGGCGACCATGAGGGGCCGCGAGCACAGGGACGCCGCACGCCTCATCGCAGAGGCCTTCAAGACCAAAGAGAGGGACTACGTGGACTTCCTGGTGACCGATTTTAACGTGGCGCTATAGCTGAGTGGAGGAGGAGACAACATGACACGAAGAAATTGTCTATTGTTTTAAATGGCACAACTCTTTTAAACAAACACAAAGGAACCGACTGATCTCTGAGCCCTTCAGTCTGGATATATGATTTTTCATTACCGTGGACTTTGTTCAGGATTCTCCTCAACGTGTTACCTCCGCACTGTGAGACCTTATGCACTAAATGGAAAGTAGTGAAACCTTTTCTTTTTCTCCTTGTGAAAACTTGTGGATTTACAACCGTTGAAACCCACCGGAGCTCCTTGTAGCACTTCCTCTTCCGTTGGTCAGTTTATTATTATTATTATTATTTATTTGTTCGCTTCTACCCGAGAGACAACCGCACATCTAAGACTAATCCACGCTCGACTTTACAAGCCTGGATTTGTAAATGTAAAAATGAACAAATGTAGATACAGATGCCTATATATACTGTACACATAAAGATACTCCTATATGAATTATAAAACCCGTAACCTCCGTTGCATCATCAGCATATAGTGATATATTTAATGATGATGATGATGCCATCCTGGTGATTCTACATATTTTATAGTGATGCTACCTGCCTGTCTGCATATAAGCACTCTTTCACAATAAGAAGTATGATATGTCAAGCTAACAGAAATACACGTTACATGCTTTAATCAGACATACAAATACATGTATGAGGGAAGGGCACCACGCCTCAGTTCCTGTTTCTTTCCACTTCCATGTTTATATGTATTTTTCACTACATTGTCAACTCTTAATCAGCTGAATTTTCAATTCTGTGAAGATAAACGATCAAGGCTTCATTTTTTTACGTTATTGGCAAACAACACATTTCTAACACCTGAACTGTAGCCATGTTTCCTAGTACACACTAAAACACAATGTCGTTCAGAGTCTGTTTCTCCACGCAGCAATTTTGCAAAGCTTAGTATTCGTTTTTTCCAAAATGCTGCATCAAATATTTACTTTCACATTTCGCCAGTTCTGTTTTGAGGTACCCTCAGAGTGAATACAATCCCAAATGTTTTCCCTCAGACTGCTCAGCTTTGCTCCTGCTACTCTAACAATTGCTAATGTTTCTTTTTGTATTTCATAGTTTTAATTATATACGCCCTGTGGGAGGGGGGGGGGGCTTGCTGCAGCCATGCTCAGTGAAGCAATTAAACCCAAGAGGGGGAGTGATGAGACATTTAGAGGACAACGACACTGCCAAAGATTCGAGAAATTCAAATCTTCGACACACATTTCATCCGCTCATAGAAAAGCAATTAGGAGATAAGCAATCAGGTGGAGTGAGAGACCGAGAGGGAGAGCGGCAAAAGTAACATGTGAGACGTGATTGTTGTTGTGATGATTTCCCTTCCTCTCAGGAAGAGTGCGAGCGTGGAGAGGATGTACAGCAAACATCCTCCCTGTGTCACTTCAGAGCGTCAGGCTGCAGGTACGAGTATGAAGTCAATAATTCATCTTAAGTGTTCTGACCGTGGACGTGTGTGTATGTCTGAAGTTAATGGATGAAAAGAGAAATACATATGCTCAAAACAAATAAAGACTCATGTAAATGTCCTCCAGGGAGCTGCTGTGAGACGCAGGAGGAAGTGATGCAGGAGTCTGGGCAGATCAAACACTCCTGAATCATTCTGCTGACAACTCTGAGAAACACATGCCTGCTCTGTGTACACCATACTCCTTCAAAATGTCAACCTTTAATGAGTAACAAAAACAATTCAGGTTGTTTTTTTGAAAGGTCATACCCACATCCTTGCCCCGTAATGCCCAATTATGAGCCCGTTATATTTATTTTTTAAAAGTCTTTCAGACCAGACATTAGTCGACTACTCAATTTACAAGTGGGAAAAGTCCACTGGGTTACACAAAAGTGACATTGTCAAACTAACACTTTTAAGCTAAGGCTTTTAAAGAGCTTGTGTTGTCCATAAATAAAGCACCAGGCTTGATCATTAGTTATTGTATTAATCTCTAGCATCAGTTTAGTTACTGAGGGCCGCATGGAGCAGCTCTCATTCATACATTTAGCTTCTGAGAGCCAATCAATATCTGGAACAAATATATACTCACCACAACCGCAAGCAAACTTAAGAGTGTGTGGTGTGTGTGTGTGTGTGGTGTGTGTGTGTGTGTGTGTGTGTGGTGTGTGTGTGTGTGTGTGTGTGTGTGTGTGTGTGTGTGTGTGTGTGTGTGTGTGGGTGTGTGTGTGTGTGTGTGTGTGTGTGTGTGTGTGTGTGTGTGTGTGTGTGTGTGTGTGTGGTGTGTGTGTGTGTGTGTGTGTGTGTGTGTGTGTCAATCTAATCTGGAAGGAATCGCAGCCACAAAGATGAAGGCTTTTGTTTTCTGAAATACCTTTTGATAGAAAATTGTAATATTTGTTTAGTGACAATGCCATACTATATCTGCACATATTTGATTTCATTTAGATTAGCTACTAGGGTGTTTTAAATCACCTGGAGGATAATGTATGCCACTAAGGTTATTCTCCCCCTTCTGAGAGAAATAAAACGCTTAAAGTGTGAAATCAGTTTTTGGTACCTATTCCAAAAGAATGAAAGCGCCACAGAAGCCTTTTTACACTGAAAGGAAAAGTCAGAAAACTAACAATAGAACCCTTCTGACTTCTCAACCCTGTCAGCGGCCCATTGGTTACTACTGAAGATGTAAATACAAAATATATATTATAACATGAATATATATTTTTAAATAAAGGAGCTCTATGACACAAAAGGAGGAAGATATCAGAAGGGTTATTCATTGTTAGTTTTTAAAAAATATATATATTTACAGTATATAAACTATAACCTTATTCTTTAACAGAAGATGTCAAACATCCAAAATGTTAAATGTTATCAAAACATACGCAGCCACTCAAGGAGTTTCCCTGAATAAAGTCTTGATTTAAGAACATTCAGATTTATTTTCCTAACTTTTATCAAAATCAAACTGGAGCCGTTTTCTCAGTACATTATAAATCTTCAGAAATATAACGATTTCTGGTATATGAAAAGTTGACAAGAAACAGTTACATTATCACTTAATTTAATAACTTGAACCAAGATAAACAACTCCAGCTACATAAGAGTGGCTGGTTCAATCTCAGTGTCCATGAATGCCAAAGTTCCCTCGAGCCACTCCCCCTTCCTGCTCAGGTGAAAAGTAGAGAAAAGTCTCAGAGAAAGAAAAAACATGTTCTCATATTATCCATATATCTATTCAGACATTTTGAAAGCATATTTAATCTGCAGATGAACCCCTCCTCGTCACAGAAGCTTTATTCCTCCATAATGGCCCGTCCTGTAGACATGTGTGGATGGAGACCCCTTCTTCTCTTTGACCTGGTATCAGAGGGCCGTCCGGGGGAGGGGGGGGGGGTGGTGATGGGAGGGCAGCAGTGACGGCCTCTGACAGTCTCATTAATCTCGTTGTCTTGTTGGTCAGGCTAGCAAGGTGTGACCCCCCCCCCCCCCCCTCCCCACCCCTCAACTACTGCTTCCTAGCAAAGGTCAGACTCATAAAGCTCCACCTGTTGAGTCCGTTAATAAGGTTTATTTTGTTCACTGAGTGTGCCTCCTGCTTTATTAGCTGTACACGTTCATTTCGTCTGTGTTAATTTCTCCCCCCCCCGCCCCCCCCCCCCCCCCCCCCCCCCCCCCCCCCCCCCCCCGCCTGCCATTGCTCTTCAGCTCCTCTATTGGCTCTTGTCCTCCCGTCACTACATCCTCCTTTCCCCTGCTTCCTGCACATTTCAACGAGGAGTGTTGTACAATGACATGCTATTTATACAGAAAGTGTGTTTAATTTTTCAATAAAGATAACTGCACAAAAACTAGCAAGGTGTCTGATTTATTATTTTGAAGTGTGAATTTTGAGATGTTTTGCCATCCCTTACTTTAACACACAATGTGTAATTACTTTCTTAGACTGGGTACGGTGGCTGACAGCTGAGAATGTGTTACACTGCGCAAAACATTTCCATTACGAGAAACGCGCTAAAACAACACAAATATAAAAACACAAATGTGCCAAAAGACATGCAAATGCAGTTTGCTTGCGTTTCTGAAGCACTTTTCGTTAACGAGGAAGCATCCAGTTGGTGATGATGCTTCTTCATTTGTATATGTTTTGGCAAATTTGTGTTTTTATATTTACATCGCTTTTGAAAATGCAGCGCGTTTCTTTAACCCTCCTGTTCTCCTCAGATTTACTTTACACCCTTTATCCCCAGTAGTTTAAAACTCAAGACAATGATCATATTCCACATTTTAACCAACATGTATGTCTCTGGTGCTTTAGGTATCTTAGTTGACTAGCTAAATAACCTTTTAAATAAAACATTACCCCAACCTTCCCCCCTACAGACCCCTCTATACATCCAGAATTCCTATTATGTGACTATCGACAAATATATAAATCACCATAAAATCTCACTGAAATAAAATGTTAAAGTTCTTTTTGATGTTGTTAAACGACCAATAACCAAAGCAGACGGTAGTTTTGTTTTACAATGATACATTTGCATGTAATAGTCACCTCAATATCATCCTACACAATCAACACAAATATGTGTAAAATATTGACATTGTTATATGTTTTATACTACTAAAACAGCCTGGGGTCAAATTGACCCCAAGGATAACAGGAGGGTTAAGGGAAATGTTTTGGGACGTTGCAGTGCGTTTGCGTCTGTCGGCAACCGTATCTAGGGCTCTCTCAATCCAAGTCCTCCCAAAAGAGTAGAGGCTATTACAGAAATAAAAGATGAACTATGGGTTAAACTTGTTTTTGAAATGCCTTATTGGTTTGTGTGCCTGATTGTTTTGGGATATGGAAAACCATCTAGCCTGATTTTCATCAAGAGAAGAGCCTGGGTGAAGCTCCAAGAACCAAGACATTACATTGTCCAGGATATCAGAATCCCACAGACATCATTTTTCACTGATGGAAACAGCCTTGGTGGAGGTCTGCTAGTTTCTTCTCTTCAGTTACCAAAGCAACGTCATAAAGAGCAGGGAACATGTTTTTATTTTCAAATAGTTGTGTGTTCTTTTTCACAGTAGTGAATGAGAACATTGTGACACAACCTGCCCTGCAAAGCCCTGTCAGTTTAATGAATTGCTTTTAGCTTTGCAAACAAACTGCCTTGAATTAATTCATTCATCAAGAAAAACATACCACGTTCCAACCTTTGAAATATGAGGATTTTATGCTTGCTTCTGTTTTGTAACATTGTAAATTGATGTTTTGAACTTGTTGGATATAACAAGTATAATAAAGATGTCAGATTATACTCTGGGAAATTGTCATGGACATATATAAAACTATTACCTATTTGTTTCCTTACTTCCAGTTGACCTTGCCACAGCTCAGACTTGTGTTTTCCTGGTTCCTCACGGTCTGCAGCTCTGTCATTGTGTTTTAATATTTTAGACATGCAGACAGGTTCTGGGTCAGTGCCAGTCAACATATAATACTCTGCAACTGTGTCTTCTCTTTCTTATCAATTCCATGTAGTAATCTGATGGAGCTCGTCTTCTGTTATTGCTTCATTTTCCTTTTGTGGAGTTTGAATTTTACATATAATTGCAGAATTGAAGATAAGAGAGGGCCCATTGAAGTCAGCTTCAAAGTCATCTCTCTGTCTTTGTGTTTCTCTCTGTTCTATTGCAGACAGTTTTTCAAACTATTCGATTTTTTTGCAAAACCTATAAAAGTTCAGTTAACATCTAGTTGTTTTTGCCTTTGTAAATCAAAATATTGAAGACTGGCTGAACATTACATTTGACATTCACATACTAAAAAAGATGTGCAACAGTGTAACATCTCAGAGGGCATATTTTGAAGTGAACCAGTGTGTTACAGAGCTTAAGATCAATGAACAAATGATGGACACCCAAATATTGCAGACTGTGTAATTGCTGTACATGCCTTTCAATAATAATTGGTATTCAACTGCCTACAGTCTTCTGGGGAGGTCAGGACAGTCAAGTTCTTCTGCACAGTAAAACAAGGTATGATCCGTCTCAATGGACCAGGCGTTGTGCATAGGAAGATTGTCCTGTTAAAACAGGAGAGGGAAAAATAGGTTTTCGCTGTTCTGTAATGTAAACGGTCAGCCTGGGGGAAAGTCAAGGACAGTGAGTTTGAGAAATAGGATATATTTTAAAACTATAGATACAAAACATAATATATAGGTCCATGACCAGTATAACTTATTTTGTATATCCCCTGGCACAATGTCATAACATTTATTTTTAAAGTTTTTATTTAACCTACAATTAATTTCATACTCTTTTTGTATTGTCTCTGTTCAATATGTGTGTATATATATATATATATATATATATATATATATATATATATATATAAACCCGTGTTGGGCATTGATTCAAATAAATAAATCATTTTAAATACCCTCAAGAGGACAAATTATGAAAAGGCATCTAATTATAATTGGATACGAATAAATGTGCAACGTGCGCCCTCTTGTGGCTCCATCTTTGTACTGCAACCTCTAGATTTGTATTCCTCAACCTAGGCGGAGTCCCGCCCCTGTGTAGCCTCATAGCCAATCATCAGTCAGTATTTGGATTCAGGCTGTTAAAGAGATTATTTCTGTCCCGATCTTTGCCTGGCAGGCAACATGTTCCACAATAAACTCCACATATTAAATAATATTGTTCAGATTAAGGCTAGAAAGGTTTATGATAAAGTCAGGGCTACAACTTGAATAGAGGAATCATTTTTACGAGGTTGATTAGAACGTTAAACATGCCTGAAATACTAAACTCAGGACGAGAAAATTCCCATAATGTTTTCACACGGGTGAATACTCTGCCAGCTAAATCAGTGCCATACTACACAAGACTGATAATTACCCTCCTAAATATCAAAAACCCAGGCTTTGTTTGGAGAAATTAATTCATGTGGCTCCTTCAGAATTAAGGTACCAACAATACGAGGTACAAATGCGTCTGATTGCGGGTTATTTACGTTTGTTTTAAAAAAAGTAAATAATGGTAACGATAACGAACTTTTGAAACTGGCACTGACTGTTACGTCGCTTAGTTACACTTAACGTTACTCCGTTACAGTTGAATTTAGACAACAACGTTGCTAAATTCAGTTTAACGAAGGTTTAGGAGTTGAAGAAACCTCGGTAACCTGTTTCTGTGGGTGGGGGTTTGTTGTGGTGTGTGTGCCATAGTGACACGGGGGTGGGTCCTCTCGGAAGTTTAGCGGTTTTCAAGGCAACCGACCCCCGTTGCTGTGCTCTGCCTTCTGAAGCCAATGTGTCCCTCCGCGGTATGAGGTACGTTTGCAATGTTGATGAAAGTTTATTTCACTCTAAAACAGTGTTATTTTTATTTCTCTGTGGGCATAGTCTGCAAAAGTGAAACATATTGATGCTATGTGTTCCAGCCTGACTGGTTCTTGAGCAGTTGTTGAGCCAGTCTTTCTGCAGCAGGGCTGCAGCATGTGTTGCTTCAGTCCGTCTGAAACTGTGAACCTGAAACACTGTGAGGGCTTCAGTGTTAGAGACCCCTCTGTGTCAAGACATGAGGACATGTTTACTCTGTGCAGGAATCAGATTTTTTAATCAATTCCAACTTGGTGGTAAAATACATGTTTCATCTGATGGATATGTTATCACCAGCAAGCAACTAGAGAAAACTTATTATCATTTTGTGAGCCAACAGGTGTTTCCCACTCAGTGATATTTGTTTATCTTATACTTATGTATCACTCATATAGGTATCAAACACTTTTATTAAATACCGCCACCATCTTCTTTCTTCTTCCCCTTTACACAAATCAGCTGTATAAGAGCTTAGTCTTGTAAAGCATAGACCAAAATCAAATAAGTGTTACAAATCATGAAACAATTCATCAAAGAACAGGCAAACAATAGTCAAAACAATTGTTTTTGTTGAGTAAATGGTATTTAATGAACTGCTTGATGTTTACGAAAAGGACTTTGCTTTTAGAAGAATAATGGGAATTTCTATTAAATTGCTATTTCAGCAAATTAATTGTGAAATCTGCTTTTTTTAAGGTTAGGGTTCATTATTTTTAAATCAAGGCCTTTAATTAGCAGCTCGTTGGTTAACATGTTTTTATAATTGATTAATACATTTATAGACAAAACATTATTTATTTGCAAATTAACGTTCAGTCTATAAATCAGAAGGAAATTGTAAAAAAAAGAGCCAAAGTGACGGCAAAATAAAATTGAATTCACAGTGAAATTAAGTAAAAACTCATATTTTAATTCTGAGACTAGAACATTTTTTGAATTTTTTTCATTTCCCCCAATTAATAACTTGAGTATAATAGTATTATTTAAGATAACATTTCATATAATGATAACATTTCAGGAGTTTACCAATCAACTAATGATTCCAGGATGATTTGAAGTAGTTGAACAGTTTCATTCAGGCACTCCTCGGTCAGCACACTGAGTCTTCTGAGTAAGGAGATTATCTGTCATGTATTAGTGACCAGGTCGTCCTGAGCAGGACACACACCTCGCTCTGCCAGCCTGTGGAGCAGCTCCACTCTGCTCAGAATCACCCCGTGTCATCCTGTGAATATTCAGGTAGTGTCTGTTTTACGACAGCTTTGGTGGGACTGGGAATGACAGTCGAGCCAGAAACCCTCCCGCTCTCTTTCTGTCGTTGTTTTCTCTCTCTCTCTCTCTCTCCCTTTATTTCAATACTTTCACCCACCTGTCCAACCTTAGCTGGCCTGACAGCCTGTCTGTCTGTCTGAGCTGAGCTAGCCTCTTTCCTGGAGGTATTCTGATGATCATTGTCTGTTTACAACCGTGAAGCCCCCTCTAAGGGCTTTAGAGCTGCTTAATTCCCCCCATCTGGCGGCTGAGATAAACCCTTAGATAAACCCTTAGTTCCCCCAGGAATGAGCAGGGAGCAGAGCAACAGGTGAGATGTTTCTTTGCTTTATTCGAAAGAGAAGATCATAAATCAAATATCTATGGAAAACTTAGAAAGTCTTTAATGGAGGATATTTCGTCTGTTCTCTTCTGTACGTGCTGTGAATATGCTAACTGTTAAAGCCCAACACGTGTCTGTCAAACAGAAACAAAGTACCACCAAAAACTGTAACAATTTAGTAAAAGATGGCAGAGCCGGTTACACACAGGAACAGAAGAAGTATTTAGAGCTGTTGTTCAGTAGTAGAACATCTGCAATGCAGCTATCTGAATAGAACAGAGCCATCTTATTTGTTACACCTTTACTTTGCCTATACGTCCAAATGTTTGCTGTGAAAAAGAGCCAAGTGTATGAATGCTTTGGATGCCTATCGTACAATGCCTGAGTTTACAACAAATAACTAAATATGTTATATTTTACTTTATTTTATATAAACATTATGGACATGAATTATTTTACTTTACTTACTATTTTACTGTGTGTGTGTGTGTGTGTGTGTGTGTGTGTGTGTGTGTGTGTGTGTGTGTGTGTGTGTGTGTGTGTGTGTGTGTGTGTGTGTGTGTGTGTGTGTGTGTGTGTGTGTGTGTGTGTGTGTGTGTGTGTGTGTGTGTGTGTGTGTGTGTGTGTGTGTGTGTGTGTGTGTGTGTGTGTGTGTGTGTGTGTGTGTGTGTGTGTGTGTGTGTGTGTGTGTGTGTGTGTGTGTGTGTGTGTGTGTGTGTGTGTGTGTGTGTGTGTGTGTGTGTGTGTGTGTGTGTGTGTGTGTGTGTGTGTGTGTTGGATAGAGACTCTGTAAGAAGCATCAGGCTAATAATCTTCTTGCAGTAATCTGGGATATTGTTGATAAAGACAAAGGCGCATGGTGACCACTTCTCTCAATGAGAATACTGCTTCTAAAAATGTAATATCCTGAATGTATATAAAAGGATAAATAGATTATGTAGAAATGGTGCTGTTACACTCTAAAGTTCCTTTAGTAAATCTTTTATAGAGATGGACTCAATGTACTTTTGAAAATGTGTTATTTAGATGATGTAAGTATACATTTTGGTGTGAGGCTCTGGGATTTATGTTAAGACTAGTCAGAGATGTATCACAGATGCTGGAAAGCACAGCTCGTGTTGTGTGGTTGCCATAGTGACCGTTGCATCTCTAGGCCAGTTCTTGGGGGACTAACAGTCTAATCCAATCTCCATTAGATGTAGGATGTGTGTATGTTTACTGTTAAGGCTGAGTTGTGCAACCTGACAGCACAGGATCTAAGGAGGGGTAATAAGGTACATGACCAACTTAATGTCCCTTTGGATCAAAATGTGTCATACTGTGACTGAACTGTGAAACCACGGCAAGTGCATAATGAAATAAATAACCCACACGAACTGTACGTGAAACATTCTAATACAGTTTTGCTTGCTTTAGGCATAATATTTATTATGCATACCTGAAATAATTCCTAATTTTAGGGCTGGAGCTTGTTATTAAATTCATGATAAGCTAATCAAAGTTAGAAAATTGCTTCATTTTAACAGTCAAGGTTTGGAATATGCTTACATTTGGAATGAAAACAACCCCACCACTAAACTACTTTGAAATGTTCTGGGTTCTCACACTGTACATTGACAGGACCGGAGCTTGCTAAACATTAAATAATCACGATCAAAACATACTCAATTACATTCATAGTAACAAAGTAAGTGACAAAAGCTTCAAAAGCCTGGAAATATTTGGTTACGGTACATTCAAAGTGCTTTCTTCCATCTTGTAAAGCTGTAAGCATAAACCCATGCAGAGAGTGGTTTGTACAGGAAGTGCAGTATTCTATCAGGATATGACCACCCTGTGATGTAATAAGTTAAACATACTAAACTGAGAGTACAATTGTGTTTTTCAGGAACTGCATTCAAAGAGATCCCCCCCTTCCTTAAGACTGCAGACTGACTGAAACCCCCTCCTTAGCTCTACCTCTGGATTGTAACCACTTTTCTGACCTGTAATCGATGACCTTCTGCAGTCATGGCTTTGAACGTGTTCCTCACAGCAGATCCAGATCAACAAGAAAGGATGAAGGACGCTACAGTGCCAGGCTAAGACCATCTGAGGTCAGAGCTGAGGCCTAGAGGAGAATGGAGAGAATAAATAATACCAAAGCAGGGGTGATTTGCTGGACCCCTGCCCCGGCCCCCAGCTCGCCCACCAGCTCTGTGATATATGAGGAGGACTGGGATGGTGAGGATGAAGAACAGACAGAGAAAAAGGACGACTTTGATAGCCAGATGGACGAGAATGGCATCATCGGACTGTCTGAAGCACTGGAGGATGCAGGGTTGGTGGACTCGGATGCAGATTGTAATTCAAACTCCCGTGGACCCCTCACCCCAGAGGAGGAAGACCCTAGTGGGCATGAGAGTGAGACGCCTGAGGAGCTGAGCAACAACCTGAGTGAACATCTGTCCCACACCGAATCAGAAGAGGACCAATCACTGTCATCATGTGAGTCTTTAACCTTGCCTTTGATGTATTCTAGATCTGCTAAAAATGCACCCAAACGAATATACTGCTCGTTATTTTAGCTCATAAATCTAAACTAAGACTTTAAGTAAAGTTTAAGTTTTAATCAAAACATATAGAGAAAAAAAAATAGGATAGGACTTCTCAAGGCTACCATAAGTCCACAATCACTTCTACCAATACATTACACTGAATTGATTGGACTCGAACATGTCTTAAAGCCGAAGCTGATGTCATCAGGTTGCCATTTGGCTTTTGTATTATTGGCTGTTTATTGGCTATAATACCATTATCGTACACAAACCTAAGTTCATCATCACTGCTATCTATTTTTCCATCTCTACGTCAAGGTCAAATATCAATAAGCAAAACAGGTCTTTGTGTGGATGGGGGTTTTAACAGTTTTTGAAATGTACAGCAAGTTCATGTCAATTTGGACATAGTTATTGGGCAATACCAGTTTACCCTCTTCAACTTGAATATATATCTTGCAAACGCACTTAAGAGATTCCTTAAAAGCTAGACGAGCATGACCCCTATCTGGTGGGAGATGATTTATGCCTTCGCTGTGTTGAAACCTGTCTTCACCTTTCTCCATAACTCCATGTGTCTGGCAGATGAGGACTTGATTGAGAGCTTTAAAGCACACAAGTTGGCTGAAAAGGTCGGGCAAGAAGAGCCGGGGAAAGAGTGTGTCTCTGAGTGGGACAAAATGGAGGAGAAAGATGGAGAGGTAGCAGGGAAGAGGAGTGACAGGAAGAGAGAAAACGATCAACACAAAAGAGAGATTGGAACTTCCAATGGCTTTTCTGAAAGCCATACTTCCAAAGAAGAGATTGAGAAGACCAACTCTAAGCCATATTGTAGTGCTCACCTGTCAGAGATGGAACCTGTCAGAATATCCCAGCCTGCCTCCCCTCTCACAGCGCTCTCCTTCCCCCACCTTCTCCACTTCACCCCTGAGGAAATGGCTGCTGCTCAGGGCATAGACACTGAAACCTTTCCAGACAACAGCGCCGCTGAAAGTCTTCCAGAATCACATCGCAGCCACCTAAGCCTCATGTCCAGTCCTCGCTGTCCTGAGGTAAAGCCCAGGGCTTCTCTTCAGCCGGCAGACATGTTTTCTGATGAAGGAACCTCAAATCATTGCAGTCGAGTTAGTAAATTGCCCTTAAAGGCACAAGATAAGTCTGATAAACAACCAAGTCCCTCACCAAGGAAGTTGAGGCAGCCATCTCCTGAAGCAACATATCCACAGGCTCGATCCCTCGGCTCAGCCAAGTCCTTAAAATTCAAACAGAAAACAGCGAGTCCTGACAGAGAGTCGAGGATACCCAGACCCAGGAGTAATGCTGCTGAAGTGGACGAGTCCAGGTGAGACACTGTTTTAACACACGTAATGCTGCAGCTTTTCACACATACTGATGCACTCACCATGATTTATATTTGTATTTCCAGAAAAGGGCCTCTGAGTTATCGCATACCAGACTTCTCCAACGTGGAGCCCAGGGTCTTTTTCCCAAAAGATGGTTACACCCCCCCTAAGAGTAGCCGCTGTTTCAAGAGAGAGTCCTTGTCCCCTGGGCCCCCCTTCATGTTCAAATCCCCCGCTGACATCGTGAAAGAAGTCCTGCTGAACTCCCATAATACATCTCCTGCCTCATCAGACTCCAACAAGCCAATCAGCAGTGCCCTGAACTCCAGCGTGCCTCAGGACTTCAGATCCCGCCTGCAGGCCTCCGACCTGCTGGACCAGCTGCAGGTACTGTCAGAGGCTGAGAGAGCATCTACGGTAGCTGGCTGAACCTGAGTTTAAACAAAGCTTTTCAAAGATAGTCTATTAGGGTTAGGGTTAGGGTTAGCTAGCTTCACGTGTTATGAAAGACACAGAAAGCTTATCTTTTGGAAAGCCTCTTGAGAGTCTTTTTGCAGTTAAAAAGACAACTTTTTGTCCCCCTATTTTATATCCAACAAGTGGAAATTCAGGTGATTATTTGAAGTTGTATTTATGTTTGAAGTTGTCAGATCACTTAACTAAAAACTACTTTTGATAGAGATTTGGTCAGCAAAGCAGTGCAGGAGTAACTGCAAAGATAACATCACCATTTTATGAAATGTTTTGTACATTACATAAACAGAAGTATGTGACAACCCACATGTTATTGTTCCCCACTCTTACAATAATATTTAAACAGCTGCTGCTCCAACATCTGATCAGTTTTTGGAACCTGCTGCATGTTCAGCCACAAGAGCATCAGTGAGTCCAACACTGATGCCAGGTGATAGAGACACAATGGGGGTTCCAGTTGATCAGCGTTGGGTGTGGTTGAGGTCAGAGCAGGCCAGGCAAGTTCTTCCACACAAACTATTACTTCATGGAGCGGGGACTGTGCACAGGAAAGGCTCTTCCCTAAACTGGTGACACAAAGTTGGATGCACGCTTTGGTCTGAAATATGATCGTAAGCTGTAGCGTCTATGCTTTATCGGAATGAATGGGACCAAACGATGAAGAAGTATTTTTAATCTACTCTGTTTATCTTCGTCAAACTTATGAATAAGACCTACTGTAACACTACGTCTTGTTTCGTTCTCTCTGCCCACTCATTCCCCACCCAATCTCTTCCTCTTCTTCCCTTCCTCACACCCTCCCCCCCTGCAGGACGACTACTACAGACTGCTGACTAAGCACGCCGAGGCGGAGAACACCATTGATCGCCTGCGTCTGGAAGCCAAGGTAGTTCATCTGGAAATCAGGCTGTCATTTATCACTATGTATATGCAGGGTTATAAAGGACCGTGCATCGGGGCCTAAAGATTGATTCTTTCCCTCAGCTTTAAATCACTATAGCACCTTTAAGTCATGAGATGGATAAAGGTGATAATAATAATAATAATAATAATGGGTTCCATTTATAAAGCACTTCATATTTGATTTCAAATCCCGAAGTGATACAATATTCAAGGGAAACATTGTCTCTGAACATCGGTGGAAGACATGAATGTATAACAAAAATACATATTTGACTTTATTGTCTTATAATGTGAGCAATAGCTTTGTGAAGGGGGCGGCAGTGAAAGCATCTTAATGTTTGCTTAACTTTTGACAATATAAGATAATTTTTCATATCAAATCTGATAGACATCATACATTGATACAGTTTTATGTTTAAACACAGGCTGCAAGAAAATGTAAAGTCACTTTTGTAGAAAACTATTCTTTTCTCAAAGATTCAAGGGATACATGCGTGAACAAATGTAATAACAAAACACCAGATAAGTTCAAAACAAATTACGAGAAGACAGGGAAAAGGTGTGAAGACATTTCAATAAATTAACAATAATCGTAACAAAAGAGACTGTTCTGGTATTAAATTGGTTACTGTAAGTGAAATTGTTACATTAAAGAGTTCAATATAGAACAATATGCACATACATACAATTGCACTCATTTGTATACATTTGTAGTAGACCTTAAGAGATATATAGACACACATACATCACATCACATGTACTACATATCCAAGGTCACATGACATGGCTAAATATATAAAACATCTGTTATAAGAAGGTCCTCTTGGGACTTTTAGCCAATGACTGTCCTCGCTTTGTGTGTGTTTTGTAGGGTTCATTGTCCGTTGATTGAGCAGACAGACTATTGATTGGGGTTTTCTTTTATTCAAACAGCCCATAGATAATTACATTCACTTATTGTTTGGGTGTTAGTGTAGCAATGAAATATGACAGGCATTACTCAACTGTATTCTGTGCCTTTTAATGTGTATTGTCACAATAACTTCTCCAAGGACAGGAACACCCAGGCAGGGATGATGAAAGAGTATCAATATATACATATTCATAATCTCATAATTGTCTATATAAATTCAAGCAGTGCAACAGAAGCCACATTAAGACAATCAAGCAACAATTACAATATTATATGATTTAAGTTGTAAAATATGCTAATTTCTTTATTTCTTGTTGTCTGTTTTTATTCCTATATTTATTGTGTCTACGGTACAGGACTTTATAGATCCAGGAGAGCAGGAGCAGGCATGTTCAGCGTCTCACAGACAGAGAGTAAGTCAGAGCCAGAGAGAGAGTAGGAGAGACAGGAGAAGGCTAGGGTAGGAACTCCACCATCAGCAACAATTACCGAGCCAACCGGGCTGTATGCATCTCCTCCATCTCCTTCACCATCACACTGAAGCACCATCTGCCCCCACCCCCCCTCTGCTAGTATAACATGACACAGGCTCAATCGAGGGGTGGCTTTGCACCGTCATCTATTCTGATTTGTTTCTGGTTTTGTACATCTCTTAATGTCAGTGCTGTTTACAAGAAACGTAGCTTAAGAAACCATACTTTACATGAATCTTGTTATCTTATAAAAAAATATTTGTTTTAAAGGGACTGTTGATGTCGGCTTGAGGTCATCATGATTTATTGCTCAGAGGGGAGGGGCGTCTATTCATTGTGAGTTCCATTCAATTCCGTTATTTGTGTTAAAGCATAATGAGTTGGCTTAGGTTTGTAAAACAGACATTTAGAGAAAGCCCCTCCTCCCTAAATCAACAAAGAGTTATGTTGATCACTCGTGGGTTAGAGCTCGTTGTGAATAGAGCTTTGTGCCCCGGACATTTTGCCTTGCTATAATATATGCTTGTTGGCACTGTGCTTACCATCTGATCGCGACACTTGGTCTAACAATGGGGAAGTCTTCAAATGTTTCCTCTATGGAAGGTAATAGATGTGCCAATATACCACTAGACTTGTTTTACTTCTCCACCAGGTGAACCTGTTCTCCGACCCCCCAAAGCCCGGCCACTTGGTGCAGTCCGGACCGAACCAAGGCTCCTCAAAGATCATGGTGCTGGACTTCCCTCGGGCTCAGAGGGCAGAGATAAGCTCCGCCTCTCTCCATCCAAATGGACAACAGAGTACAACAATCTTATTCCATTTCATTTCATATATCGTTTATCATAAAAATGGATGATTCAGCTTCCCCTTTAGCCACCTGAGTCACACCTCTACTGATGTATTTCCGTACGATGAGATATTTTATACTTCCACTTTGGAAGCCAATGTTGTAGTTTTTACTCCATTTATTTGACATGTTTAGTTACTCGTTACATTACAGATTCAGAATATTAGCTAAAACAAAATATAAATCAACTAATAAATCAACTTTGAATTCTATATAATAATACAAGTAAAGGTTAATAAATCCAGCACAGCTATTTGGATAGGCTCCATCTTTACTAGCTGTCTGAACACAATAATGCATAAATAATCATAATCCAGACATTTCATATACATGTTTCCGTAATTGGCCTTTAGGCTTTTGGTACTTAAGTATATTTTGATGCCAATACTTTTGTACATTTATTTAAGTCTGATTTTGAATGCAGGACTCTAATTTGTAACAGAGTATTTTAACAATTTAGTCTAGGTACTTTTACTTAGGTACAACATCTGAGTACCTCTTCCACCACTGTTTACATTTTCATCAAAGTGAAAGCTGCTAGCTGCTAGAATGTTGCCTTATTCTCTAAAGCTTGCATTATCTTCTTCCCTCTGCACCTGTGTGTCAACAGGAAGTCCATCAGCCTGTTCTTCCACAGAAAGCCCAGACCCTCAGGCGGGACAGCAGCTGGCCAGCATTCTCTACTATCAGGCCGACAAGTTCCTCCAGCAGGTACGAGATCCTTTAAAACTATCAACAGTGATGCTAGAGCTTAGATGATGTGATGAAAATATTAACGTTTTTACTCAGATGCAGACTTTTGAGGATCTCCTGGAGAGCAAAAGACTCAAACCTCTGGATCAGAAGAAGGTAGGAACTTTAACAGTTTAAACCGTTTGGAAGAATGTCCTCTTAAAGCCCCCTCCTTTAATGAAGCTCTTCTCCAGGGGGTCTCACAGCTCGCTGAGGGGCTCGACTCTTTGGAAAGGGGATACCTGTTAGCCAGGGATGACTGCAAACTCCTGCAGCAGCGAGGATCAGAAAACAGCTTCTTTGACCGTGACCGGTGAGAGTAGAAGATTAAAACATCACAGGTGAAATGTATCTTCCATACCTCTGTGCGCTCAGTTGTTTGTATGATGTGTGTGACAGGGAGCTGGAGGGGCTGGTCTTTCAGTGTGGGCTGCATATGGACGAGCTGAAGGAGCTGGTGGAACGGATGCAACAGGAGCAGCCAATCAGTGAGGCTCCTCCCTCTCCACCTCCTCACCCCACCCCCTCATCTGGCCCCTCTGAGGGGGAAGAAACTCACACACAGGTACCATCAGCTCTCTCTGTATTTATACACTTCCTTTTTTACTTTTGTATCCGTTGTAAAGTCCATAAATAGTTTTTTTCCTTTCTAAAATAAATGTCTGTCTTAAGGCGTTTGCTCTCCTGCTTGTCACGCACAACAGGGTGCAAGTCCTTACAAGTTATATCAATTATATCTTTATTTAATGAATCACTTTATTCAAATCGTTGGAGGATTTGCATTTTTCTTAGGATGATAAGGTTATAAAATATGACGGCAGACGTGTAAAAAGCTTCATTTGAAAAACACAATAGATACTTTTAATATTGTAAACGTGTTGTGGATATTTTTTGCTATTTCCAAAGATTTTATAGAATAAACAATTATTTGATAAATCCAAATATAATTGACACCATATTGTAATTGTAAATAGTATCCCTAAAGCTGGTCCTAGTGCGGATTCAATATTATATTACATCGGATATTTATACTTGTGTTTATAATCTGGGTTAAAGGGGACCTATCATGCAAAATAAAACCCTCTCTCTTTTCCTCCGCACCCAAATCTCTAAAAACGGGGGTTCAACGGAGCTGATTCAGAAACGTTGCTATCAGAAACAATGCCCGACTGTTTTGGACGTAATATGGTCGGTGTTTACATTAGCATCGCTAGCACTCAGAGCTAACCTGTACTGGAGAGCATGTGTGTGAAGAAGCAGGAAATAAAAAGGAACTCACCTTGTGGTATAACCGGAAAGAGAGAAAGCCTTTGAGCTCCATACTGTTTCAGAAAGAATCCTTGATAATCCATGATATGGCGTTTCATCACGGCAGTATTTAGTTTAGACAGTAGCTGCCGGGTCCCGCATGAGCTCTGACCCCCCCTTTTTTATTTGTTATCAATTTCTTTCTTTTTTTAAAGCTTTATACCCAAAATCAGCACTTTAGAAACAGGAAGTGAAATAGAGGGATATGAGGCATGGCTAGAATGGGGGATCTGTTTGGTATTTTGAGCAAAACACTTCATAGACATGTTTTTTATATATTTGTATATATCTGAGACCTATGTTATTGCCTAAAAATAGCATGATAGGTGACCTTTACATGAAATGACATCCCCCAGTCTCAAAAGCACTCATGGAACTCAGCAAAAAGGAGCTTTCAACGTATTGCCCTTTCACATAATTGGACTTTTTTGTAAATGGAGAACACACTCCTGATATGACATGAAAGGATGTAATTGTAGCCAGATTAGATTGTATGTAAAGCTCTCTCTCCTTCCAGAGCCCAGCTGTGCCTGTGCTGGTTGATCCAGGAGAGGCAGCGGCGGTGGAGGTGAGCGCCGGGAGTGAAGAGAGTGTTGAAGAGGAGGAAACTCTCTACCTCAATTCTCTCTACCTCAAACCTCAGAACGGCAAACACAGACATGTTCAACAAGACTTGGCACCGCTGAGGAATCAGTGAGTGGAAAGTGTTTTCAGTTGTTCACTTGTCACGTGTCTTTATTGCGGAAGGATTTTAACAATAGTCTTAATCTAAATGTTTTTACGTTGTTCCTCTCTCTGTCTAGCTACCAAAGCTTAGGGGAGCTCTCCAGACGTATAGACTACAGCCAGAGGGAAGGAGCCCCCCTTTCTGCTGCCTTAAGGAGGCACGTGCAGCCTGGGAGAGAGGACGAGGAGAGACCGTGTCAAGAAACCCTGGAAACATCAGCAGCACAGTAATACTTGCTTACTTTCCTGTCTACATTTGATTACTTTTATCTCGGAATAGTACAATTATACTGAAGAAATTCTAAATATGTATTAAAAAGACATTAATAAATATGGTATGGTAAGAGGCTTGTTCCACTAGCTCCCCTGGACTAAACGATCTCTCTGTTGACAGGAAATCCAAATCAGACCACCAGGACTCTCCTCCTGTCTGCACTAAGAAAGCTCAGAGCAGCAGGTCCAGCCCTCCCCCCTGCAGCCCCTCCATCACCACACCCCCCGCTCATCGTCCCCGCAGCCCCTCCATCACCACACCCCCTGCTCATCGTCCCCACAGCCCCTCCATCACCACACCCCCCGCTCATCCTCCCTGCAGCCCCTCCATCACCACACCCCCCGCTCATCCTCCCCGCAGCCCCTCCATCACCACACCCCCCGCTCATCGTCCCCGCAGCCCCACCACACCCCCCGCTCATCCTCCCTGCAGCCCCTCCATCACCACACCCCCCGCTCATCCTCCCTGCAGCCCCTCCATCACCACACCCCCCGCTCATCCTCCCCGCAGCCCCTCCATCACCACACCCCCCTGCTCATCGTCCCCGCAGCCCCTCCTCCATCACCACACCCCCCGCTCATCGTCCCCGCAGCCCCTCCATCACCACAGCCCCCGCTCATCGTCCCTGCAGCCCCTCCTCCATCACCACACCCCCCGCTCATCGTCCCCGCAGCCCCTCCATCCCCACAGCCCCCGCTCATCGTCCCCACAGCGCCTCCATCACCACACCCCCCGCTCATGGTCCCCGTAGCAGGAGAACGTTAGAGGTGGGAGAGTCCCCCAGCAGCAGTCTGAGCAGTCTGGGGGAGATCACTGCGTTGGAAAGGAGGAACTCCAGACTCCTGAGTGGGATCAGAAGAGTGCTTTCTCAGGTCAGTTCCTTCTGAAATCTGACATGTTCTTACATCCATGGCATGGTTAGAGGAGGCATACATTAATGTCAAGGTAGGTGGCGAGTAGGCAGACATTCTGATAGTGATTTACAGTGCTCTCCTGTTCACATGTAAATCAGGTACAAATAAAGATCATACACTAAAAATATTAAATCCACTAACATTTCTGGACTCGTCTACAAGATCATTTACATCACTAAATGTCTAGAAGGTACGTATCACATTACTGTAGACTGCATACAAAAAGTAAAGAAACATTACTTCAGCAAAACTCAAATCCATCCATCCATTTTCCACCGCTTATCCGGAGTCGGGTCAGACGGCCCCCAAACGTCCCTTTTCCCACAACAACCAGTTTCCAATCCCCACCTTCCACAAGGAGAATGTGTTGATTAAGACAAACAATATTACATCTACATCTAAAATGTGTATCGTCAAATGATGCATAACATTCTGTGTTGTGTTGCTCAGGATGGGATTATCTCCCCGGAGACGGACAGTGGGTTTGTGTGTTCAGAGAGCAGCCGTCTGACTCCTGCTGCAGCGGCCAGTCCTGTCCACCAGAGGGCCTCCGAGAGGTGAGGGCGTCCGGTACATTCTGTGCCTCCACACACCTCATGTTCCATCCCCCACTCCCCACCCCGTTACACACAGCATACTGATGCCCGGCCCTTATTCTCACTGCTTATTATTAATGTATTTATATTATACAGTCTATTGCTAATTAAGCATGTTGTGTTTTCTGTCTTGAATATTCCTCTAGTGTGTCAGTGCCTCAGGAGAGGATACCTCAGATGGTCCCGGTATCAACACCATCTCCGGTTCCCCCACTGTTGCTAAATCAGCCGGCGATGGAGCCCAACAGAACCAGGTCGAGCAGAAGCAGAACAGAGCAGAGGAGACGCATCCTCTCCTGCTCCCCACAGCGCTGCGTCCCTCTGACGGGACAAACCAGAGCCGACAGTGGGACCAGTGAGTTTGGACCCGAGAGTGACAGCTGTGAGTCTCTAAGTTTCGTCCACTGACTAAGATTGTCCTTTTTATTCTATGGTTTCACTGTTGTCCTTTCTTCATTGTATGTGTATCTAACCTGCGGTCCTCCTCTGTCCCAGCCGCTCTCACTGTGTCTGAGCACAAATTCACACAATCCATCAACTCTAGCCCGAGCTTCTCCCTCGCTAGTGCACTGGGTCACCATGACGATCCTCTCAGAGCACTGAGCTCCAGTCAGACTGCGAATCGCAAGTGAGTGTGTGTAGCAGCAGCTGCCATGGCGATAGCTGTGCTGCGTAAACATGGCCAGGTTTATGTCTCCCTGATGATGACGAATAAGAAGAATAAAATGTTCAGATATCTTTCTGAAATGTATAAGTTCACTCCTGTTAGATTTACCCAGCACCATTAAGCCACCCTTAATGTCTCCGTCATCACATTATTGTATGTATTTCATTACAGAACATGCTGCCATTGAATGTGGTTGCATATTAGGAGGTACTCTGTTGTGTCCTGCATGGTGTGGTCCTGCATCCTTATTTTCAAACAGCGTGTGTGTGTTTGGACTGACAGCTGCACAGATACTGACTAGCACTCTGTAAACTGGAATAGTTTTACAGTGCAGCACTTACTGTTTGGCCTTGGATACGTGTGTGGTGGTGAACATTACATAAACTACACAGATTATTCAATGTGATTTTAAAAGTATTTGCTTGTGTGTGTGCTTTAGTGATGCAATCCAGACGCTGCAGGTGGAGGTGCGCCGAATGAGGGAGAGCCTAGATAGCTGTCTGAGGAATAAGAATCCTGTGAGAGCGGCTCCTTCTGCTCACCACAACACCTCTACTCCAATCAGGTCGGTCTCTATTTCCCAGTTGTGACTGCGTAGGGACTTCATTGCTTACGCTCAAAACAAGGCGCGCTGACGCTTTGACCTATGGGTTTGCTTGGATGTCATCTTGTTCTAAATGTGGTGTTCTCCCATTGCTTAGGCCAGGGGAGCGACGGGGTGATGTCAGGGAGAGAATAAACACACGGCCTGTAGATGAGGACGAGGAGTTCACACTGCGGAGAACAACCAGGAAGAGAACACCTTCTTCGAACAGACCAAAAACTAACATCTGTAAGGCTTGATTATATACATACATACATGAGCAAGCACATCCATCGAAGAACAAAGAGCAGATTGGGATTTAATGCATGTCATGTTTTTGTTTTCAGCCACAGGTTCAGAGCCCTCCTCACCTCAGCCTCTGGTGTCCAGGTGTACTCAAACATCCACTGCAGCTCCAGACAGCCACCGCTCACACACGCATACTGTCGGCATCAGAACACAGCCCAGTGAGAACCATCTATCTACATCTACTACAGATGCATAAATAGAAAGAGGACTAGTTGTACATTCATAGCTGTTCTGTTCAAGTCAATACAGACATTTAGTCAAAAGAAGTGTTACTTATGTATTTTAGATTGTATGTACCTGCCTAGTGAGAGTGTGTGTGTGTGTGTGTGTGTGTGTGTTGCAGGGCAGCAGCCTGGTGTGTCTGCACAAGTGTGTGAAGCAGCAGACGTTCCTGACAGCAGAGGGTGGGCTCCTCTTTGTCCTCAGTGTCTGTCACATGGTCCCCGAGGGCGATCTGAAGGTAAGGAGGCTCCTTTCATCCTTTTGGTTTTCTTTCCTTCTACGCGTTTATTCTTACTAGATTTTCTTTGTATTCAGACAAAGGGGAGAAAACCTACATTTGTTGTTGATTTCTTAACAATACTGCAGTTGTCTTCACTAATGCTTGCTTGTTGTATTCCTCAGTGGGGGTTGGGGGTGACAGAGAGCAGCCTCACTCCTCTGGCCGTCGTCTCTGTCCTCTCTGTGGACGCCATGCACCCTGCAGCAGCACGGAGCCAGGTGAGAGGATGTGAACAGAGCTGTACATACCCACCATTACCAGGGCTAATAGAGAGGTGTTAACAGTCATCTCGTAATCCCCCTCATGTGTGGCTGATGACGTCATCCATTACTTGTTCAATCTACATTTGACTATCAGCAGCATTTGTTCTGCTTGGTCACTGTGCTCAGGAAGCACATCAGTTCTGTTTGCAGTAAATAATATGAAGTGTTGACCTGCCCTGTTGTTCACAGCCCCCCCCACACACACAACCTGCCAACCAGCCGAGTCCCCCCACAGAGCGCAGAGGAGCGGATACTTTGCAGCTGCAGCTCCTCCTGCTCTGCTGCAGTGCCTGCCAGTGTGCCCACACCCCCTCCTGTAGGTGACCTGCCCTCTCAACATACACACAAAGCTTTTAGCAAAAACTCACCTGCAGTTGACAAACTAAAAGAGATAGTTTGGATTGTGTGAAGTGGAATGGACGTCCCTCATACAAACACTTTAACCATCACATCAGTTGGACTGTACCAGGGGAAATGCGCAAATGAAGTATAATGTTCAAAGCACAGACAAATCCAAGAGCTCCTCTCAGCTGCAAATCATAAAGCAAACTATGGTACTGCTTGAGAAGGCTCTTAGATAACAAATCTAATAACAAAAATAGTAGCTAAATCATTTATTTGTGTGATGTTAAGATAACAAGTCTTCATAATTCTTTCAGCGCATATATGCTGTAATGTCCTGCTAGCACAGCAATGTGTTGTATTTGTACACAACATGCAACAACTACTATAAAATGTCATATTTAATACATTCTGGCACTTTTCATTCTTACCCTGTCTTTAGGTTGTACTCGTCATCGCCCCTCTACGTGTCTCCTAGCAACAGCCAAGGCAGGTCCTCAGGGGTCAGGGGTCGCAGGGAGGTGAGGAGGAGGAGGCGGCGGCGCTCCCTGTCGATGGACAAGCAGCGCTGCGTGGACAGCTCTCTGGAGAGGGCCATCAGAGCAGCACGGAGCATGAGACACACCTCCGGACACATGGCTCGCTCTCTGAAGTCCGGCCTGCACTACCAGAGGCTCCTCGCCCAGGCCTGCAGCCTCTAGTCTGAACTGGAAACATCACCGTGTGCAGGACCAGCTGAATTAAACACCTCGTATCATTCCCTTCTTTGTAACTTGTCTTTGGAGAAAAAACTGTTACTGTAGCTTTGTTTACGGCACTTTTAAAAAGGGTAAGTCATGGCAACATTTGATTATTTTCAAATGGGCTACTATGAGGTACTTGTCTATGATCAGTGAATTACTAACAGTAGAGGATGAATTGGGAGGCTGTGGCTCAGTGGATAGTGTGCTGGACTTCGAATCAGGAGATAGCAAGTTCGAGTCCCACTGCATGTCGTTGTGTCCCTGGGCAAGACACTTCACCCCAAATTGCTCCTGTGGGGATTGTCCACAGTACTCAATGTGTGTAAGTCGCTTTGGATAAAAGCGTCTAACAAATGACATGTAATGTAATTGCACACCTCCAGTTTTGAGAATAATAAGCTAAGTAATATTGTGCCGTGGATCGGAGCTGCTGCAAAACGTATTTGACCTAAAAATAAACAAATATCAGTTCAAGTGTACACTATATTAGAGTGCCTTGCTGTCAGAAAGGCTTTCCAATGGGGAACTAAAGCCATTAACATGCAGTGATTTCCCCTCACAGAATACAAGGGGTCCTGGTCTACTGCTGCCTTGAATGGTTAGTTTGTGTGTGTGACTTTGGTGAAACCGAAAAAACTATTTATTACATGATTTAATACACACATAACGAACTGATCAAGGCTATGGAAAGTACCCCATACAACCCCCATTTAAAAATATCCAAACTATCCCTCTGAATCTCAGGTGGCCAAACGTACATTTCCTTTCCTTCAGCAATCGTCATAATCCTTTTCAAATATGTTGTGGCATACGGTTCATAGAAATGACATACTTGGCTGTCCTGGAGCAGTTGTTACTTTGAGCTATTTATTCATCATGCTGTTTATTAATAATGTGAATCTAGTTTTTGTAATTCTAAAAATAAGTTCAGGATATCAGTGTTATTTTGAGTTTGTGTATGAGCTTTGTTTTCCCCTTTTAATACTGTAGCATGCTGCGCTGTAAATGAAATGCACTCCTAATGCAACTGTTGTTGTAGACGGCTAACGAGAGACCACTATGGACCAAGTGGTGGACAGCCTTGTAACCCTGTAATGCTGGATTTGCCCTAATTAGTCCACTTGTATGTTGTCTGTAGAGAATACACATTTTGAACTGTGTGAATTCATTTTGTACAATAGTTTCTAAGAAGCAGGTCTACTGTAACTGGACAGCTTGATATGTTTTTATACAAAAGAGAATATATAAACTATTTTTATGGATTGTATTTACTGTATTTGGTTGAAATATACCATAGAACTGTTTTGTTTAAGTGAAATCTGATTTTTACTCATTTCTAATCCTTTTTTGTACCATTATTTTTCAAACTGTAGATCCTTTTGTTATATTTTCAGTAAACTCTTTGCAGCTATCCCAAAGGAGCCAAATAAAAGGTTAAATGTAACATTCGGTTTTGCTGTTTTGCCTTTTCAAGAATAAAAACTAGAGTCTTCAATGTAATGGAAGCCAATTTATTAGACAGCCTTAGTACATATTAGGTACACATGGAAGTATTGTTTGTGCTTCAACACTCGCAAACATACAATCCCAATAAGTTAAACAGTTTTAGAACAGACTAATGCATCACTATTATTTTTTCTCTGATAAATAATTTGATATAAATCAATTGATTTGACAGAGTAAATCCTATACAACAGCAAATGATAGAAAATAAATGAACACGAAGTCAAGCGTTTGCATCACAGAAAACGCATAATAGTGCAATATACAACTTGTTTGGCCAGGAAAGAGGGGAGGGAGGAAAGAAAAGTGATTTAAGGGATTTCTTTTGCAAAGCCATTCACCATTGGAGGGTTTTACATCGCACCGGAGGAAAAAATAGCTTCTTTTTGAACCACTAACAGCTACAGCTAAAACATCACAAACACGGCGGCTTCACATCGACGTTTTTTTAAAGGAAAAGGTATCACTACTTCACAGTTAGGAATATCACCAGTCAACAGTGAGACGCTAAAACAGCAACGTATGGCACGTGCACAACACTACTCCGTGCTCGGCCCAATGAAACATCACTAACCAATGAAAAGACTTAATCTGACAGGATACAATACTGAAATACAACTGGCCCTTTTTAAGATTATTCTTTAAATATCTGCAAGCATCGGCCTTTGACATTAAAACGTGAATTTTTCGGAGAAAGGAAAAAGGTTGTGGCAAGTAAATACTTTACAGTCTCGGCAGCCGGAGGAGGGGGGGTTCGGGCTTTTTACAGAGCTCTCTCTATCCGACGTCTTCTAAACCAAACGCTTTAAAAGGAATACTTTAAAGAAAGTCTATGTTTTGAGTATCGCACCTCTTCCTTATGTACAGCGCTAAAATGTGTCCAGATATATATTACAAGCTATGTTGCAGCGCCAGGAGGGGTTAGATTGTGATTTCCTTGGCTAGAATGAATATATTCAGTGATTTGTGCACTTATTTCTATATTAATCTACAATGGCGACTGCTGATTGCAGGGAAAACGTCAAGGACATTGATTTGGACGATTAAGTGAAAATAGCATGAAAAACAAACTGTGGTTACTGTGCTTGCTAGTGCTAATTGCATAAACTTCAGCTAAGATATAATATATTTAAATCCCACATACATATATATATATATACATATATTAGAGCAGTAACGGCTTAAAGGTCATTTTGTGGGCTGCAGCTTGTGGAGCTGTTGCATACTGACCCTTACTGACACATCTGGATATATTGCAATACATTTACATTGCTATAGTTTAACCTTTAAACTGCCAACTGAGTTTACGGATGGAACGCCAAGTACTGGATACCCATACATTTCGAAGTGTGTATTTTTAGATACTCAAAACACATGTTTTCAGTGAAGTATTCAAGCTCAACATCTTAGGAAAAAGCTAAGTGCTAACTCTGCGGCTCCCAGAACATCCACATTGGATACAAACACATAACAGTCCACACAAGTCCAAGCATGCTACTGAATACGAACATCTCAAATGAGCGGGGGGGGGGTGGGGGGGATTCCTCTCTGACGAATATATTTATATTGCATGTTGACTGATATGATATATTTTACAACAACGACCTCTCAAACTGCTCATCCCTCCTCAACAAGCTTCCGATAAAACTCACAGGGGAGGAAACCCAAAGCAAAGAGAACATGTCGACCTTGTGCACAGGTTTGTAGCATACAATATTACATTTTGGTACTTTCAGTTTTAAATGGCCTTCTGTTCTGATATTTAAACCTTTTTTTAAATAAGTTCATTTGGTTGCATCCATTGTAAAACTTTGAATACTTGCAACTATTTTATTCTTTGATACAACATATATTTTTTTATCATCTCAGATGTCTTTTTATTCTTCTCAAGCAGGATGCATACACAGTTAATGTAGTTTTCAGGGAAAGGGTACAGAGGTAAGAAGGGGGCGGGGTTAAGAGAAAGAGGAGAGAGGTGTGATTGGAGGATCTTAGCTTGCAACTTCCTCGTCTGGTTTGTTCATGGCCTTGAGCTGCTCCAGCAGGCTGGTGGGGGTGAAGATGTTGGTCGATCCTGGAGACACACACACAAACACACACACACACAAACAGAGAGTTAGATCTGCACGTGTTGGAAGAAACAGAAACAAAATGTGTTTTCAGCTCTTGCTATGAATGCTTACTGGTAATGAAAGCACACAATGTTCAAACTAAAAACAGAAGCGCGGTTATAAATCATAATCAATTAGCCAGCAGGTTCAAATGGTTTAAGAGGTTGGAAACTTATTCAGAGATAACTGAATACTTTTACAATTTACTTTGAGTATTTCTAAATGGATTGTATTTCTTTCCCGCACTTCTTTTGACAGGAATATTTTTGTAATCTTTATTCCACTACATGTATCTTACAGCTGAGCTTTTGACTCTTCCAATTGTTTTTTAGACTAAAAACTTGTCAGTATTTTCTGAAAGTGAGAAAACCCCAAAACAAGAGGCATTATATTATATATGCTATCTTCTGTGAGCAGACTGAAATGATGTTGTATCTCTAATCATCTTTGTATCCTTACATCCTGTTACATTTAAAACGTTTTAATCTAGATTATTATTGGTAAACATCTATTATGGTTGTTAGATGTCATTCAGCTGAAGGAGATGGAAGCACACAGATCAGTGACGGCGCCACACCACTGTCATGAAGCTGAACTAAAACTGGCAGGTGGGTTTGTAGCATCCTGCCACAGCAGACCTGTGTCTACACACAGCCAATCAGGTGCAGATGACTGTCTTCATTGAAGAGCATGCAGACAGCTGAACAATTATTCTACCAAAAGCAAAGAAAATGTATCAAGAAAGACGAAAGCAGATCTCCTCTACATGTCATGAAATCCCAAACCAGAGGTCTATGATCTCCATATTTATGAATGAAACTCAGTAACCCTAGCAACACATAGATGACCTGCTGTGACAGCTGAAGACACATTTCAGACATTGTGACACTTGAAAGGTGCTGAACTGGAGTAAAGCAAACGTTTTGTCCAATGTGTCGAATCATTGACAGATTGACCAATTCCTTTGATAACTGTCATCTTAATTCCTTGTTAAAAAAAAAGGCAAACAAAGCATTTGATTTACTCCTCACACCTGTCCAACATTGTAACAGTACATTGGCCTACATTGGTTTGTTTCTGTTGCAAAGCTGCGTGTTTCCTCCAGTTTGGTTTGATTTACCTGAAAAACAGGCAAACTAGGCCGGACCCTGTGAGGGGTCAGAACAGGAAGTGGAGGTAGTCGAGGGAAAAACAGAAGAGAAAGAGGCAAGCCCATCTCGAGTTGGTTCGTTATGGTGATGCGGGGCCATGGGGGGGGTTTGGTGTGGGCCACAGAGGTTACTGTCAGACGGGCCTCGCCTGCTTCTCTGCTGTTCCCCAAACACACAGCTTCGTGGGCCTTTTTTTGCCCCAGAAACACAACACCTCCTACGCCACTACATTACATTATTGTACCAAAATAGCATATCAAAAACAAGGAGTTGTTTTAGTAGGTGATGGCCATTTTGCTCAGGAAGTGTTGAATGCAGCAGTATGGTGGGGGGGGGGGGCAGCCATACTGCTGATGGTGAGAGCTGCTTACTGAGAAAACCAAACGTGGGTTTGTTACGATATCGCTTTAGCAGATTAGTCAGGAATGAGATGGATGCCCAGGTACCACAGTCTTTAGTGGGTGGATGTGTGTTTAGAGTTTAATAATCTATAAAAACAGGCAATGGGGGGGGGTCATGGACAAAAGTATAATCTGTTACCTGAGCCAAGGAGGTTATGTTTTGAGTGCCCCCATGTGTTTGTTTGTCAGAAGGATTTCTCAAAAATGATGATTAAATGTAGCTGGAAACTAGTAGAGTAAAGTCTGTTAGCAGGTGATGCAATTCAGTTTCCTACATTAAGGGGGGGGGGGTTTGGTTGCAGCTGTTGGACATTTGCGGCATCTTTTCTTTTGAATTGGTTGCTAAAGCATATCAGGTGGAACATTGCTACATCCTCAGACTCTGTCAGCAGAGAGGCATATGACAGGCGCTGACACAAAGGGAACACTTTTGGGCAACTGCACTGAACACTTCTGAAATGATTGTTCCCTGGCAGCTTCCTTTCTCTGCTTTGTTGCCCCCAAAATTGCCCTGAGTGTCAGCGCCCTGAAAGTATAACCATGATAAAGGAGATATTTTGCTAATATTTAGTGTCCCTCTGCAGAGGAGCCATGAGTCATGTGAGCATGTGATGGGGACTGAGAGAGAGTGACGTGGGCGGAGTCAGGCGACTGGGAGTCAAAGGAAATCAAATACACAAGGGATAAAGGAGAGGATCCTTCTTTGAAATCCTACATTAAGTCAAAGAGCTGTCTGGATGTGGAAAAACCAGGAACAAAACAAAGTGATTGACTTTGCGAAGGGATATTTCGAAAAATAATCAGACAGTAAAAACGGATAAAGATGGATCTCGGGGGTAGATTAAATCTGGAGTGAGTGTTCCTAAGGCTCAAAGGGCCTTTGGGTGGTGGTCGAAGGGCGATTTAATCCACCCAGCTGAGATGATGGGAGGAGGCAGCAGGGATGGGGTCACGACGCCCTCAGACATGGCCGCTCTACACCACAGACTTTGATTGGGCTGAATCCAAATGTGGGCTTGAGGGCCTGCACGGTCCTCCGTCACACGTACTGTGACGTGATCGCCATCTTCATGTCAAGTCTGTCAGAACACATGCCCCTGAAAAGAAGGGCCCTGCAGGCATTTGTTGCATCTCTGTATCTGTGTGTGTGCTGTAGAAGGTGATGTCAAAACAGTTGTAGAATCGTGCCTACAATAAAGGAATGCTTTCTGCAGAGGAAAACATATAAAAGAAAATACCTGGTGCCAAGAGTTGAGTTGAGTTGAGTTGAGTTGAGTCAAGCAAAAAATGCAGTGGAAATTAGACTTTTGTGCTAATCAAAAATATATAACGCCACATTCCAGACTCGCCCTCTTGCTAACTTTTAGATTTGGAGTGGTTGACGATTTGGATTCAGCCTTCCAGCCTTCCTGACAACAGACAGGCTACACCTGATTGAAGAGAGGGAGTCTCACTGTGATTGGCCAACTCTCAGTATAAAGGGACTAAACTATGATGGAGCGGCCCATGTAGTGGGGAAAGGTCGGTGGGTGCCCATCCCTGAGGGTCACGGGGGAGGAGGGTGGAGTTACATAAAACAGTACTGAGTGTTCAAAGAAGAAGAACAGGGAGGAAGCCCTTGTGCTGCGAAGGTTCAGAAAGGGCTTCTTTGTGCGGCTGCCTTTACTTTTTTCAGTGTGATTTCTCTCTCCCTCCCTCCCAATCTGTCTCTGCCTCACTCGGCTGGTGTTTCTGCTTCCTCAAAGGACACCCTAGTGGACTCTCGGAAGTCGGGGTGCTGGAGGTCCTTTAAGAATTTGGTGGGGGTGAGCATGTGGGTGGAACCTGTGGAGGAACAGAGGCGGCTTCACCACTCGTCTCTCAGCACATGCCACGCCCCCTCCCCCACTCGCTCCGAAAACAAAAAAGGGTTACAAAAAACTGTCGTACGCACACACATATACACACACACCCACACACACACACACACACACACACAGAGAGACACACTCGTCCACCGACAGTTCACACAAATACATACGATCGCCATGTTGCACAGTAAAGAAAACAACAGACACAGAAAAAGACATGGCGGCGCTGCAATTTAAAGACAACAGTTGTTTTTAAAGACAACAGCTGAAGCAGAGCACAACAGAAACTAACAAGACATTTCCCATTTATCACACAGACTACATGAAGGGCTTTTTAACATAACAGACTGCACACAATAGGTAGGTTGTAACAGCTAGACCTTCCATGAACTTGACCTAAACTGCTTGACTGTCATGAGTCATGATCTGGATTTTCCTTTCTCCTGATCTGTGTTGTGGGCACAATGACTGATTTGTCATTGTGGGTTAATTTTTTTTAAAAAACAATAGTTTTTTGGGACTAATGGAGATGTTTCTTGAGACTCCTTTTGGACGAAAGGATTTCTTTACGCATGTTTGTATATAACTCACTTAGCAAGTAAGATTTTTGAACCAAACACCGACAAAATATTCTTTTTTTTACAGCAATTAAAAATGTACTATATATTATATAAAAAGCAGTATGCAAACATAATAAATGATGGCACGTACACATGCACGTACGTACACGTATTACATGGGTTGTACTGTTTTTTGTTAGTTTTTCCTGGTATTAGTATCAACAACCACATTTCTAGAATTGTGACATCCCTGGTAGTAAAGAGCTTTATCTTTCTCTCAATGCACTGGACTTAGACTTCCCCATCAGGGTTTCAATGTCTGTTCACCTCACTTCCTGTGGTCTCCTGCACATTTCTCTTCCCCTCCATCCTTATATTGTTAGCTGTCTCCACGTTGAGAAGCTTTGACCTTCTGTGTCCCTTGTAAGACCTGATTGCTAGGATGCAGCTTCCATACTTTCTATACAACATTTTGAACTTAGATACACATCCACTATGTACTACTTAACACCAAGGTTGTAATGATAAACACCACATCACTGCATCAAGCTACAAAGTTAAACCACTAGAGGTCAGCAAAACTAGATTTTCAGGGTGTGTCAAGTTACTCTTTAAGCTTGTCATAGATGTATCTCTGAAAGATCTCTGCACTCAGCAGCGCCTACTGCTGCTCCACTCACCAATGACGGCCTCCCACTTCCCATTGGCCTGTGTGACCTCATAGGCACAGCGCATCTCGCTGAAGGAGGCGCCCCCGATGATGAAGACCATGACACGAGGCCCGGTGCGGTACTCTCCAGGAGTCTTGTTCTTGTGCCAGTGTCCGTACCGAGCACTGTCAGAGCAGAGAGAAAAACAAGGAGCTGTTATTCAAGTTGTAAAGCTTGTCTCATCTATGGACATAACATCATGATGGTATTAAGTACAATACAGCTGTTAAGGCATTCAATGTTATGGATACATATCATCCTCATTGCTGGGTGTGTTTCCGTCTGTGGGGGAGGGACAGCTAATGTGGAGGATCGGTTTGTAACAGGAGAGGATTTGATTCACAATCAATACACACCAGCAACTTCCACACACACTGCAGTGTAAGGATCAGCAGGGCTCATCCCTCCCCCTCATACACACACACACTCTTGCATGCAACCCACAGAGGGAAGTATCGACGACTTGTACTAATGTCGGCTTGCTCACATTTTGGGGTTTGAGTTTCCATGGGTGATATTTCTATTTCAAGAGTTTCATATTTCATTAGGGCTGTACCAAATTATTATTTTCTTTCTATTGACGTTTTCTAAATAAAGTATGTTGTCATATAAGAGTACTTTTTTATTTTTTAAATCATCCAACAAAAAAAGTTGTTGTCATGCCTTCTATCATTGCACAGTGATCCAATACAATTCACTATTGATCTACATCCATTTCTGTCTGTGTGTGTGTGTGTGTGTGTGTGTGTGTGTGTGTGTGTGTGTGTGTGTGTGTGTGTGTGTGTGTGTGTGTGTGTGTGTGCGTGTGCGTGCGTGTGCGTGTGTGTGTGTGTACCTGACAGCAGTGGTGCTGAAGGAGGCAGAAGAGCGGGTGGAGATGTAGGGGTAGTGCTTGGTGTCCAGCTTATCTTCAATAGCATCCTGCAGGGGGATAAAAAGACGAAACAGATCTGTATCAGCAATAGTCCACCTTGAACACTCACACACTCACACACACACACACTCACACACACACACTTCAATAAGGGCTGTTACAGTTGTGCCAGGTCTCTTAGCAACCATGTTTAGCTCCATCATGGACGACCATTGGAGAATTGGCTTGGCACAAATAAGGGGCTAAATATAGTTGATAACAACCAGGCTGGGAGAACCGATGTTTGGCTAAGGTTGTTGTGGATGCATGTCAACTGTAAACAGATCATTCTGCTCAGATTAATAGTGTGTTTTTGTGCGACCCTTAGTTAAGATTTGCTTTAAAAAAAATACACATTGCAGATGCAGAAAAACATACAATATAGCTGTTGAAAGGGACGTTGCCTTCTATCTAAACAAATAAAACATTAAAATAGTGATTCTGGTCCTTGAAACAAACCTCCATGATGTCCTTGACCAGTGGGGTCCAGCGGGACAGCTGATAGGTCTGCTCGCTCACACGCTCCTTCCTGTCCAGCTTCTTTCCTCGGCGGAGGGTGGACTAATGAGGGAAACAAGACAAGGATGTGAAGGACAGAATAAATACAAGTATTTCCTTAATGCAGGAAAAGTACTATTCCACACCGTGAAAATAAAACCCTACAAGTAAAAGTCCTGCATATAAAACCTTTTTTGAGTAAAATAATAGAGTTATATCAGCAAAATGAATGAATAGTAATAAAGTAATAGTTTTAATGGTGTAGTAAAATACTTCCTGTAAGTGTTTTACTATTATATACAAGGTGTTTTGGAACAGTTGTGACAATTGTAATCCTTAAAAAACACCATAATCCTTCAGTTTATAAGAAACATCTTAATTCTGATTCAACAGACAAACTAATATAATCTGAAAAGTCACTTGTAAAAAAAGCTGTCAGACAAAGTATAATATTTGGTGGACAGTAGACAATGGGAGACTGACAAGCAGAAGAGAAGATGGCCAGGGAGGGTCTTACATCTGTGACGATGGGGACGCCCAGGTGAGCCATGTTGGTGATGATCTCGCTGTCCTCAGGGGGGATCTGAGCATGCTGGATCAGCTTGTTCAGGTTCTCCTCCGTGATGCCTGAACACACACACACACACACACACACACACACACACACACACACACACACACACACACACACACACACACACACACACACACACACACACACACACACACACACACACACACACACACACACACACACACACACACACACACACCACACACACACACACACACACACACACACACACACACACACACACACACACACACACACACAGGTCAGACCTTATAACTGAGAAGACGGTATGTTTACATTTAATATGCTCAACTCGATGAAAGGGAATTCATGTTTTGTAACTCGAGTGCAAAAATAACAATGTCATTCAAACTTAAAATGTACACTCTATACTTTTTGTGACCTGTATACCTATTATATATATAATACATATATATATATAGGAGAAGTTTAAATGAGAAGTCTAGTCTTAGTGAATAACCAGGTTAATATTCCTGTAGTCTGAGCATTTCTTTACACTTCATCATGTCTATGTATGTCTATGTCAATGCACAGAAACACTCAGTAAGTAATGGCTTTTACTTGGACAGATAGCAGAGCAGAGTTTTATAAACTTAAGAATTGATTCATAATGTCGCCTGTAGCCACTTCTTACCATTTTTGAGGAAAATGTAGAGCAGGATGATGCGGATCTTGTCGTACGTGGTGACGTTGGCATCGAGCAGGATGGGCACGATGGCCCTCATGGGGTCTTTGATCTTCTCTCCTTCAGCGTCTGTGCCCATAGCCAGATCCTGCAACACAGAACCCAGGTATCACTTCATGTTTCTCACTTAAAACCCTCAGATACACATGTCTAGGGATTGTAAAAGCATTTTATTTTATATCAATTAGGATTACAGAAATAGTTGCATTATTTATACTTGTGCACGCCTATCACAATATTCTCCTTTAGGAATACTCTCTCCTTCAAGTGTTTTCTCTTTCTGTCCTCTCACCTGTTCCACACGGCACAGCTTGTCCACTGTTCCCTGGTAATGCTTCATGCAGTCCTCAGCCAGCTGCAGATGGGTGGAGTACTGAAAACATAAAACACACAGGGTCAGAATCACTTTCACACACACTCTTATAAACACACAACACATGCATGCACACACACACACACCTTGCTGAGCTCCTTCTGGTACTGAGGCATCTTCTTCAGCATCTGGGACAGATCCCTCATTGTGGTCTGTTGAAACAAAAACAAAAGATTGAGAATTCAGCACAAGATATTGTTAAATAGACAAATAGCAGCTACCACAAACCACACAGGTCAAAAAGCATTGGCATTTAAATAAAGTTGTTCTTTATACTTGACATTTGACTGGAGATTTTGACATCTTCACTACTTTGCAAAGAACAATCCCAGAAGTTATCAAACATGCTATTAACACTTTGCTACCAATATGTTGGCTATACTGTATGTTCAGTATCAACTTTACCTTCTCCCCAGTGTTCATCCTCTTGCTGGCTGAAAAGTCCTTCAGCTGGCGAGTCACTTCCCTGATGACAAAAAAGGATGTTAGATTGTGTAAGTGTGTATCCAAAGCTTTAAAGAGTATGAGGAATATATATATACTATACAGTAGGAGTAAAAGTACTTACTGGGACACCTCAGCTATGTGTTTGTGTCTCAGGCTCACCCACAGGTCATCGTCTTCATGCAGCAGAACCTCTTTCTCACGAGAGTCTCCAATGCCACTGGTCTCATATCTGAAGAAATAGAGACACTCATTTAGAATATATCATTTAAATGTGTGATTGAAGCAGATATTCATATTTTATAGATTCTGCTTACTGCAGCTTTAACCTGTACCTTAACCATTGTCCATCCTGCTATCATGTCCTTAGAGGAAAACAATGTCCTCTACAGTACATGTCATAAGATGATACTATTATTCCTAAACATAACTACTACATATTCATTTTCAATATTGTAATCCTTTTAATGTCATTAATGCCACTGCTGTTGTGGCAAGACTGTCTGTATTTTGGCTTCACAGTTTATGATATACTTTTTAAAGAAGATGAGGTGGTGAATAAACTCAGACCCTTGCCAAAATGTATGCCATTTGCGATGTATAGTAATAGTTTCATACTTGTAGACGTCGTTCTCGATGGGCAGCAGGTCGTAGCCCATGGCCTGGAAGGTGAGCTCATGCAGGACTGGAGAGACGGGGTCGAACGCTCGGTCCAGGATGATCAGCTGTGAGCGGGCCTTATCTGGACCCTATACAGACACAGACAAAACCATACAGGGATGAAAGGAGTGATAACTGTGTGACTTCCAGGATACATATTTTTGCAACAACAATATGATAATCATTAAGCATTGAAGTGACTGTATTTAAGTAGAACGGGGTAACAAATGAATTCCTCTTAGCTCACCTCTCCCATGGTGGGGTCATCAGCCTTGTAGGCGTCCAGTTTGTCCTGAACCAGCTGGGCCAGGGTGGCATTGTCCTTGTACTCTCTGACAGGAGGACACATAGATAGAGGGATGGTCAGCATTTAAGTGATAGACAGACAGGATACCCCTCTATTTCTCCAAAGGACATTGAGGAGACTAAAAAGTCCTCAAAACCAGCTTAAAAAGTCCCCTTAACTCACTTCCGTAAAGGTGATACATGGTAATAATTCCTTACTTTTGAGTGAGGTTTTAAAATGTAGTCTCAGTTTTAAAAAAATGCACTGATCGCAACTTTTTAAATACAGGCTGATATCCTCACTGTAGCACATCATGTAAACGTTATGTTATCTGTCAAAATGAGCTATCTTTCCAACCACTAAAAGGACGTCTTTCGTTTTTGAGCGCTTCCTGTACCCACAGCTGCCTCTACACAGCGCCCCCTGCTGCTCACCCTCGGTATCTGACGGCAGGGTACTCCTTCAGGGTGGCGCAGAGCGTGGCTAGCTGCTCCGCCAGCCTCTCCATCACCGGGTTCTTCAGCTGGGTCTTATGGGGGCTGTAGAAACTGTGGAAGGCGTCTGCATTGTCCAGAGAGTACACCTGCACACATAAACATGGACGTAACTTAGACTACTGCTTCCCTTTTTAATTGATTTGAGATTATTTTACATTTTTCTGTTTTGGTGTACTGTGCACCATGTTGGTCAGGAACAGATTTCAGGAAGTATTTATGATGTGAAAGCTGATTTGATCATGACAAAAGACTATCATGGAGATTGGGAACTACAGCGGGTCACTCATTGTGGAAACACAGTTTTTTACATGTAACCTTGTAGACAAGCTGGAAGTGTGATAATATCAAACATAGCAGCGTTACATAAAATCTTATTTTCTGTTCTCTCTTTTTGTTGTTGTTTATCCTTTTCACCTTAACTCCCGCTTGTGTCTCTTCTCCTTTTTCATTATCTTTTTCTCACCGTTTCTTTCCTCTCCTATCCTGACATTTCCTCTCCTCTATTCCTTTCACCTTTAATGTCCTTGCTTTCTTATTTATCCTTCTCACTTCCCTCTTATTATCTAATATCCTCTCTTCTCTTGTTGTCATTTCATTGTTCCTCTCGCCTCTCTTTGTCTTTCTGCGTCTTCTCATCTTCTCACCTTTTCTACTCTCTATGTCATTTGTTCATTTCCTTTCCTTTCCTCTCCTCTCCTGCATCACTCACTACCACTCCCTCCTCCCACCCCATCTGTCTTCAGTCACATGACCTCACTCCTGCAGTCTCTATGTTAGCTCAGCTCCCATTGGCTACAGCCTGCTGTGTGGATCCTTACTCATCCAATGGCGTGAGAGCATCAGTGTGTGGGCGGGGCTATGAGGCAGCACTATGCCTGGAGCAGAAAACCACTGACTCTGAATTAATGAGAGTAGACAGGAGGGAAGCAAAGCATTGTGGGCATAGCAGCATCTTCAGAGAGTGAGGGGTGGATGATGGACAGGAGGAGAGAGGGGTGTAGAGGGGTGTACATTTAGAAAAAAGGAAGAAGGGTAATAATAAATACAAATATAATATATCTCTTGATGGAGAGCAGAGAGCTGAATGCAAGCTACGTGCAAAGGCAAGGATGGAGGAATGGTGGTACATAAAAAAAACCCGTAGGGAGGGGGAGGAGGAGAAAAATGACGTAGGCAGGAATTTGGAAATATAGCAAGGATGGAGAAGCAGGCAGAGGGAGGAGAGGCAATGTGAGTCCTTCTGGAACAGTCTGGCAGTATATAGTGTGACTGCTGAGTCAGTGGCATTAAGTGACCATCTGAGTGTGTATCTGTGTTTTCATCTACTCTCTCCGTCTCTTTTCATCCATCCTCTAACAACCATTACCCTCCCTGTTACTACTCCCGGCTGTGTCCTTTCTCTCTCTCTCTCTCCTTCCACCAGTCCTAATCGATCTCTCAATGCTCCAACTTGGGCTTTCTATCTCTGCATCTCTCCATCTCTTGTGTTCACTTAATCACTAACAAAGAATTACAGTAAACCATCTTTTATTCATTCCTTGCTCAGAGGAAAAACGATTGGAGAATAATGGCAAAAAGATATAACAATCCAGGGTGCAATAAGCCATCTTTGTGTAGGATTTATTAAGCAATTGGTATGCATACTTGTGTTTTCAAATATGTTTGGGATATCCTTTTGAAACTGTGTTCTCTAACAGCACTGTGAGGCATAGCTGGATATTTACCTGAGACTCGTAGGGCAAGAAGGCGATGTTGATCTCCGTCAGAGTCTTGATGGTTTTGGAAGCACGGCTCTTTGTCAGCTCATTGAAGAGAGGATCAGGGCAGGCTGGTGAGGTGGAAAATAGATTAAAACTATGATATATAATGGCAAGCATATGTATGGCTTGAGGAATTCAAATTCCTTGGTCTCAATAATATATTTAAAATAAAATTGCAACATATTTCATTGACCTATGAAGTCAGTTTTGAGATGTTTACCTGCACTGCACCTTTCTACCTCACCCTTTTCTGAACAGCAGACTAGATAACAATGACGTTTCTAACTCCATACACATTTAAATAAAAAGGTCATGTAGCTTCAAGGCAGCTCCATACTTTTAATACAATGAAGCTCATCTATCATCACTGCACAGGAGCTAGAAAGTATGTTTGTTATGTTTAAATACACAAACCCTAAAACCATGTCCTGCCTGCTCACTAGAAACTAGATGTTATGAGCACACAAACAGGTGTTATAACAACGACGAGCAGTACGCATGTGTCCTACAAAAAGACAGGAGGAAAACATTATACTAAGAAGGACATAGTTACATCAAGCTGAACAACAGCACTACCAAAAAACAACGACAGGTTGAACATAGAGCAGAACTAATGATAACAGAAAGAAAACAGTTCAAAGCAAAAAGCACAGAACACTAGATATCAAAGATTCTGCAACACAAATATGTTTTACAACTTAAACAGTGCACTACATACAGTAATGCTGGATCAAGTCTTCATGTATCTACAGTACTCACAGTCAGTGAAGAAAACATGGGCTGCCTTGTATTTAGCTGAGTGAGGGTCTTTGAAGTCTGCGATGAGGGTGTGGACCGACTGAGGGGAGACAACAGAGTTCATATAAGTGTGTTGAATACACTATAGGTGCATTAGTGGGTACAATTCATTCATGCTTTATTTGAATAACACTTTGAAATTATAGTGCCAACGCCTTTGCAGTACTTAAACCACTTACCTAAATTAACAAATGAAAGATATACAGCTATAAATAAATTTAAAAATATTTGCTCAGCATACAATGTCAGAGCTTATTTGTCAGCACTTTTTTAAGTTAAAGGTGGGGTAGGTAATTTTGGAGAAACCAGCTCGAGTGCGCTAGAATTTGAAAATACACAGCCGGAACAAATCTGCCACTTCCTTACAGAGCCCCTCCTCCAACACACACGAACGCGCACATGACCAATGAGGGCACGAGATAAGTTTGTGCACAGATGGAAGGCTGACAGGCAGGTAGGCCATCCAGTTATTTTAGCCGGGCCGGCTAAAATGATTGGTCGTACTTTTTACAGTACTACGGCTTCCACAGATTAATTTTTTATTTTTTTGTCAAAGCACTTATTATTATTATACATTCATTGCTATCGGGATGTTAAGAGCATTCCATGGAATATAACAAAAAGTGTATCTCGAGCCGGTTTCTCAAACTTACCTACCCCACCTTTAAGTATTAGTCCTGTGTCAAATGTAAAATAAAGTCAACCGAAATTCAGTTTTTTCAGTCTTTGCATTTGAGTATTTTTCAGGGGAAATGTTATTCAATTAGGACTGTTAAGTCATTAATCACTATCTAGTTTAGCCTAAATATCCCCTGGTCTACTTTTCCCAAAGCACTGTTGTCATTGTTAAGTATAAATTGGATCAGTAGGTACGTCAAATCCTAAATATAAGTATTTTCTTCTATTGCCTATACATACAAATTGTTAAACCGCATCTCATATAATTATACTCGCTGTTTATCCCTTTATTTTCTAATTATCAGTTTGCAAATGCTTAATTTTTCTTTCATTTTGGTGTAATATGTAGCAATGTGCAAACCATTTGTTATTCTGTATGTCGTTGTACGTATATTGCAGATCATATTCAAGGCACACTGTAGCCTCAAGCTGCTTTGGCAATGCTCTACTCCATCATGTTATTACCAATAAAGCTGAGTAAACAGGCGAGTGTTTGGGCACACGGCGGCTTCCTGCTGCCATGACACACCTCTAAATATACACTATGAACATGAGAGGAGAGAGTGTACCTTCTCTGTGGGTGTAATCAGGTAAATGGCCTCCAGGCTGGGAAGAGGCTCTCGTCTTTTCATGATGTCCTCCACAACTAGAGAAAAGAAACAGTTACAGAGGAACATATACACAAACAAACACACAACAATGTAAACAGTGCAGAGGATGTGATGGTGGTCTCTTACTGGTGATGCCCTCCGTCATGATGTCTGTCATCTTGCAGCAGGACGACAACATCCTCATGCTCAGCTGGTCCACAATCAGTGCCTGGCAACAGGAAATAAAACAGTTACTATACAAATACAGTGTGTGACTAAATATTGAACCACAGTTAATTACGTCACTGACAATGAAACTGTGTTATTTAAATAAAGCAATATCTGCAAACTGTGTCTTACCTTCCATTCTCCCTTCTTCTTCACCTTCTTGATGACATCATTCATAATCTCTGTAAAAGAAAAGAGACATCATCAGTCATGTGATCAGGGTAGAGTGATGTGATGAGCGTAGATGTTTTATTATAAACATTAGCGGGGCACACACAAACATACGGTACCATTCAGAACAAAGGATGTGTAGGTAAAGATTACTGTTGGGAAATTCTGAATGTACTCTTCCAATATCAGAGTAGCACATGATAACGAAGGCCCGACGTAGCTGTGTACATAACCGGATGTATGATTACCTAGAAGAGCGTCAGGACACACTGTTTTAGGCATAAGATTCAATCTCTATGGAGATAGACATATGACTGTCATGTGTATTGCTTACGTGGGTCTTAGCTGATCTAAACAAAACATTGTATACTGCTTTGAACCAGTATTCCTGTATCTTGTGACTGTGATACACCCTCTCTTGTATATAAAGCATGTGAAGGACACTATTCGGGGAACTATTTTGTCCCATGCAGCTCAGTATGGGATGACTACTTCCATTCTTGCAAGGATAATAAATACATGTATCCTGATATTGAAGATCAAGCCGGTCACAAGTGATATTTTCTTAACAATTAACTATACTGCTGTGACATTTACCAAGTGAGTATTAATGCTTTGTGTAGGTTATATTAGCTCACCTGACACCAATTCAACCCCAAGGACAAATACAAAACTACAGTCAACCTTATCCTTTCCTGGCCTGATTATGTACCGTTCATGATCCCATAATGCAATTCTACCCAGGAGGACAACAGCATGCGAAAGTCAAATATAGCCTCCAACAAGGTCAATGACCAGAGCTCTGCAGCAGCAGAATAAATCATCTGGATGAAGAGTGAATATATGAACGCAGAGTGTGTGCTTTGTTTCTCAGTGATCTCAAATATAATCTCATCCACTGTGAGGTCGCGGCACGATGGTCGTGTTTAAGCCACCATACCGATATTAGCCTGATCACTTTGCAAACCATCTGTCAGCCATGTTCATATAAATCCATTTACGGTGAATTACTGTTGGATTGCTGCGAATATATTAACTGCTAAGCCCTTAGGCCCCGGATAAAACCTGAGGCCACACAAATACTGATGGATTATAACAGATTTAAAAGGACTCGTACAAAAAAAGATTACAGAAAACACATCAAATAAGGATCAGGGATGCGCTGCCTCTAACAACCAATGGTCATTTATTCCAGGTTGTGAAGACACAGGCTGCTGATTGGCTCTTTTAACAGCAAGATGGAGGAGAGGAAAGATACAGTAGATGAGTGGGAAGGGGAATAAAAACATTGATGGAAGAAATAAAAGATGAGGGAGGTGGAAGGGAAAGGCCGCAGCAGCGACTGAGTACATGGGCTGCCATAGTAAGCACTGAGCTATACAGCGGCACATGAAGTTAGTTTTTTATACTATAACTATTTATAGGTAGTTACGCAATTTGACAGAGGCCAAGAATAGACACATTTATAATGAAAAATGTCAGTTATAGGTCACAGCTGATTACCATTAACTACATAGTCAAATTGCCCAAAACCAAGAAGTGAGATAATAACAATATCTGCCAAAAAAATAAAACAACGTTCAGTGTTTGAGTTGTCTCTATTTTGTATGAGAATAGGATGTAAAGGAAGGAAACATAGACAGACACATACCGTACAGTATATGACTTGAACCTTTCTTGTGAATATACTGTAGCTCATATTTATGTTGTCAAAACGACTAAATGAACCTTTAAAAACGGTATTCGCATTATAACTGACACCGACAGACACATTGGCAGGACACCAGTGAGTCAGAGGAACTTCATCTGACCTCCTGTGGGACAGAGGGTCTTAGAAAGGTCTGTAGATTCCTACCCTCAGCTTCAGACTGTTACCAGCATCTTCCATTTCCTGTTCTGTAAACTGCTGTGTCAGCAAAGCAGCAAGTCTGATTCAAACCAACGCAACATACAGTAAACCACAAATCTGCGCATGTTGCCGGAATCTCTGTTAAATTTTTAAAAAGTACACTTCAAAGCAAAAAAAAGTGTACACTTGCTTTCCTTTATTCCTAAAATGTTGACACGTTTTTCATCCAGCAGCAGCTCCAGTCTACAGGATGAGAAACAGTGGGACATCCTCTACTGGGTTTCCCTTTTCCTCTGCTGCCGCTGATGTGTTTCCCTTTTGTTCTGTGCTGCAGCATTTTTCTGATAAAGCTTTTCTGATAAAAACGTATCAGGTATATTAGAATAAATAGTGCTTTTTAGTGACTTTCTTTTTGTTTCAAGGTATTACACTTGTCTTTCTAAAGTCTCAAACGCACATTTATTGTGGAAATAAAATAAACCCACACTATAAATTGTATAAAATATATTTAAACTGGATTAATAGTGTGTTCATCATACAGCACCCTCTGTAAACAGTCAAGCTGGAGACATCACTAAAATGAAAATGGTGAATGGGATAAAAATGACACTATATTTCCAAAGCTATTCTCTCCTTTATCTCCTGTATTGACGTTCACTGAGTGTGTAAATAACAAAACTATTATGATGGAATAATGAGCAGCACACTCTGATGATGGACCATGTGCATCAGATCCACGTCAGGGGAAACAGCACTGTGGATTTTTCCTTTCTGACCACTGATAGAGGTACAATAACACAGTCAGACAGAAGGGAAGGGACCTGAGGAAACACAGAGCAACAGCTGTGTCAACTACACAGGCTGAGTGGCAAAATACACACAACAAACACACACATTAACAAACACACTCAGACGCCTCATAATGTCTCACACCCAGTCTAACAGGATACTTAACATCCCACAGGAGAACAAAGGCACCGACACTACAGGCAAAAACATTATTTAGTCAAAGCACTGGTCAAATCTCTCTTCATAAAATATGGCCAAAATATATATATTTAAATGTGTATATTGATGGAAAGATATCTAAAGTTCTTCCTAAAAACCTTTGAATTGTATTTGTCTACAAATTGAAATAATGTTGACCCTCAAACTTAGCACATCATTATTTAATAAGATAATGCCTCATTGCTTATTTAAACAAAGCATTTAATACGAATTTGTTTAATATAAGTATTTAGCTGTGGGATTTGTATGATGCTATCAGGTAACATGTTATTAACCTATTCACCTATTGTGTTATCCTTTAAAAAGGCAAAAATAAACTAATTAATTTAAAGAAAATGTGGACATTTTCATAAATACACCTGAGATCAAATCCAAATACATATAAATTAATAAATAAAACCAGAAAAACTGTCCATACACTCAGTGCCTCTTATCCAGATGACAATATACCACAACAATAAGACACGGTGTGATGTGCGTCGTGATATGAGAGTGGATCCGTGTTACAGCCCTGACTCTGATCATCATACAGTAGTCAGGCACAGACAGCTTCTCCCTCTGCCTCGTGGTTCTCCCCCTGCAGGGACTTTCACCTTTGAGAACATGACCCATTTTCTCTCTGGATCTCAGCTTCACAGCATCATCATCATCATCATCGTTCCCGAGAGACTCTGACACGGCTGATCTAAAGAGACAGGCAGACACTTCGGTAGGGCTCGCACTTAAATACAACATCAACCCGCCCCTCACCAGTCTTTAGTTCAGACACTTGTAGGGTCTCAAATGAAAAAAGCTAAGAAATGAAAAAAGAAAAACATTGAGCCTATACTAGGCCTTATAAAAGTTTAAATTACACATGTCATGTAGTGTTTAGAATCAACTGTGAAATAATCCTAAAGCTGTACTGAATATTTTGAAGCTTTAATGCTGCATAAGCAACTTGTATTGATTAATACGGGGGGCGTGTGGCGCAGTGGATAGAGCCTTGGTGTTGGGATCAGGGGGTTCAAACCCCACTGCAGTCAGCATGTCGTTGTGTCCCTGGGCAAGACACTTCACCCCAAATTGCTCCTGTGGGGATTGCCCACAGTATTGAATGTATGTAAGACGCTTTGGATAAAAGCGTCTAACAAGTAACATGTAATGTAATGTAATGTAACAGTGATGTTGCATGATCAGGTTTTATCGGGATATACAGTAGAACATTCTGTAAAAGACAGAATGGAGGCAAATAAAAGTGGTATTTCCTCATGGAGACCATTATGTTCTATATTGGGCTTTGTTGGAGTTCATAGTGTGATTGAAATTGAGCTGAAATGATAAGTAGTTTCATTAAATAATTTTAAAAAATCAATACCAATTGCTGCCAACTATACATAATAATAGATGACAATAGTTTGCTGGTTGTATAATACATTCAGGTTATATGACAGTTGTTGAGCGAAAACATATAATATTATTATGTTATAAAGACATAACTTTGAGTTGTTCATTAATTTTATAGTTTTAAACCAACACATTTAATAGTTTAAAGAGAAAACATTAATTTCATTTGTGAAATAAAATCACTTCCCTGCAGTTCAGTTCATCTTGAAGATTGATATCAAATTAAATGAATAATAAATATATAAAATAGATGTAAAAGAACGCTTAACATAACAAATGTTAAAAGCAAGACCTACTCTGATATATTTATTTCTTAGCCAGGTCAGACAGGCCTGCTGCTACATAACTCACTAACCAGCACCATTTGGTTGTGAGAAAATCAGCAGAGGATCAGGAGTTCAGAGCCTCTACAGCCCCAACATCCATCCATCACACACGAGAGGAGCAGGTCACACAGATAAAACAAATATGAAATAGAAATGGATTAATGTGTGGACCTTTCTCATGACCTGGGTGATGGGAGGGAGCGGAGAAAATGCAATAATCTATAATCTAATATGTTTACAAAAGCCTACCTCAATAGCCTGAAATATGAGCTTATGCAAAGGCCAAATAAGACGGCCATATGAGCACACGACACGCTATTAACATCTCAAAGCAACAGATATTAACTTGGTGAGTAGCTAGATGTTATGTTGAAAATAATTCCGTTACCTAAAAAACCCCAATAATATCTGTTAACATATAATACTGTTATCACAATATTCA